GCATCTTGAGTCACACTGTTTCCGGGCCAAAATTCCCCAGGAGAGCATAGTACTATACAATGACATCCTTGACGTGCAGCCTTGATAATAATAGTATCGCCGAAAGAGGCTCTGCCACTGTATGGTGTTTGGTAAGTCCACTTGAATCCAACCAATCCCATCATAATGAACATCTTACCTTGTGGTATTTCTCAATAGCATCATTGCCTCAAATAAAACCGTATCTCCATGTCATCCATATTGTCTTGCTGCTGCTTCACTGTGAGCCTTGTAAATTAACAGGTTTCGCTTTGTAGATCCAATGTTATGCATACCATTGGGCCAACGTACAGCGTTCTTGCTTTGATATCAATGTCTTGTTGCTACCAGAGGTACCATCATCCAACATGTTCAACCTACCATAAACGCAATATGAGATAACAACGAAAACCAAGCTAAACGCGCTTGCGAACGTACACAAAAGAGGAGACATAAAGACTTCTTGTTGTGGACAACCCAGGGATGAATACACGCGACGCCCCCATTAGATCTTGCATAAGCGAGAGAACAGCAACCTACACACGCGCTTTAGTACCACAATGTCGAACCTGAATAGTAAAAGAGCTGCAGCGATTGACCGTACTTGTTGGATGGCAATGGAAGCTTGAAACATGGGTAGATCGCGCGAGTAGTTGTTGTAGCTGGAAGTGTCGCCATTAACCACCTGTTCACCCATCTAGATGTTGCATTAAGGAGAGTGGAAGGAGTTAATGAGCTGTAGTTCGTTAATGGAGAGTGGCTCACCTTGAATGTGTAAAGTGGAAGTGGAGAAAGTGAAGGTGTGCCCTTTTTGGTTCCCCTTGTCCTGGATACAGACACCCCGCTTCCCATAGTTACTCTTGTGAATACATGCACACCTATCTGCCTCGATCAACATGAACAGCTACTAGTCCCTTGTTATGTATCTCTGTGGCAAAAAGTGACACCAGCCTTGGTTATGCAGCCAAACTCCTGAACTTGGAGCAGCCAATGTGTAATCCTTGCATCAAACATGGACGTGTAAACACTCAACGATGGTATGCATGTATGAATCCATTGTCTCTATCATCATGAATAGCTTCCTCATCAATCGAATTTTGTGTATGAAGAACCAACCCTACCCAAAATTACATACCATCATCATCGATTTATGCAAACTGTCAACAACATGTGTAACCTATTTCACCTCCGTTAGTCCGACTAATCTTACAACATGTATCCTAAGTGAATAAAAGCTACACTACAAGTCTAAATTTTTTAAGATGCCACCATTTGGGGAATGTGAAATTGAACGTAGTCATCTGCTCTCATCCACCCAAAGTAAAGGACCACCATCATGATAATGGTCCACTTCTAAATACAAAATGATTTACAGGCAGCTGGTATTGTATAATGCTTCAGAGAGACAAAAGGTGCTATGTTTTTAATAATCATCATCATCATACACGACGTCTGCCATACAAGTAACATCTAACGGCGGTCATGTAACTAAAGAAAGAACCAGCATTGCGTACTTTGAAGGCCTCCAAACACTTCCCAGTTACTGATTTTTGGTTTGTTCACCGGAGGTTCTACCGCTACCAAGAACATCTTCAGAAGCATAACCAACAGCACTATCCATAAGTTCACGAATATAAAGCCCTGGATGAATAAGAGTTTGTCGCTTATCGGCAGAAATCAGTCTGGTACCAGATGGTCTTGTAACATGATCATCTTGAGCCTTGCCACGATTGTTAGCTCTGCGATTGAGTCTTCTCAACGGTAAGGCATCTCTACGAGAGGGTTTGCGGCCACCAGTGGTCGTGCCATCACCGGAAGTTGCTCCACTACCGGAAGTTGCTCCGCTGCCAAGAGTTGCTTCATTGTCAGAGGTTGTGCCACTACGCAAAATTGTGAAACAGCACGAGAAATAGCACTAGCATAAGCATAACGAGAAGATCCACGAGAAACTCCTGCTGCATCTTGTCGCTTATTGATAAAGGTCAGTCCGGTACTAGATGGTCTTGTAACGTGATCATCTTGAGCATCCCCACGATTGTTAGCTATGCGATTGAGTCTTCTCAACGGTAAGGCATCTGCTGTATGCACGTGGATTGCAATGACCAGAACGGCCATAAAAATCACTGTAAGGAAACGCATGATAAATCTTTTAAATGAAGATACCAAGTACCAATATTGCGACCTTTCAAAAGGTGGGGTTTATAGAGAATTTCTTGGGTACATGCATGACAAGGAGATACAGTATCATCAGCAACAGATGCAAATGGTATTCTAGATCAACATCTCTAATACATTGCCAGCAACATCATGCAGCTAACTTTTGACCTTTTGCAAAATGATGTATATGCATGAATAGTGCGTATTTACTTTGGGTATGTCCTTTTCTTTGATGGCAGTATGTGGTACTTTGATCCTTAAGCAACTAGTACGCCATAACATCATCTGTAGAACACTAATCCGTTTCTTTCACAACCCTTATAGAAGAATTATATATGCTATTGAATGGGATGAGGAGAACCTAGCAATACATGGCTGGGGTCCAAGCTTCATATCTGCTGTCAATGATGATCGAAAGCTGTCACGTATACAATGTATGCTGTAAAGCTCCTAGATCAAGGGACACATAAGTGTATGAGAAAAAAGTCGTTGCATGGTTGTAAATAATTATGTGCATGCAATACACCCTGAATCATTTCTCTATGCAAAACGGAGGGATGTTGATGCTCATAGTGACGAAAGTACGTATGCAACCATCGATCCAAGTTCTTGAGTATAATACATGCATGAGTATTTTATTGATTTTGCAGTGGATAGCGATAGCGATACGTATCATCCGATAGCTGTGAAAAAGGAGGAGCAGTACATGGGGCCCATCAAAGCTTGCCATCTAATGATTAGGCAGGGAGTCAAGTGGTGAATGTTCATATAGGGCGTATATGTGAAGATGATCCTTTTATTAACTTAAACGAGAGACGCAAGGGATTCTACATATGGTTATTGCTGGTGGGCAAGCGAAGATCGATATGGATTGCTGGTCCGCATGTGGTCGGAACGTTTCATTGGTCCAAAGCTGGTAGGTTGCAAAAGCAACCACAAAGACGCGCTGACACGACAACACCTTCACCCAGTTTTTTGTTGTTGCTGGTCTACTACACCCGCTCTCTCTCTCTCTTTTTCTCTGGAAAATGGCTGAACAAGATGATGTCCCTTCCGAGTTGTATTACCTTGGCAAGTAGTGTTGTCATTGTTCTTTATACTTTCCTTGTTGCTAACTCATTGCCCATTAGACCCAGAGTTTCCACCACGTTCTTTAAAGACATACCAACTCAAAACGATTCTAGCAACACATGACATTGCTGTGCCTGCAAAGTCCAAAAAGGCAGACCTGATCAAGTTGTTCCAGGAACACGTGGAGCCACGACGTGGTGCTATTATTGCCGAATACAAGGGAAGGCAAGAGGAAAAAGAACGGCAGCAAAAGGAACAAGAAGAGAACCTTGGGCGTGGTCGTCGTCAATGGATACCTTCTCGACGTGTCAAGGAAGCCATGGAGTTGGGACAAACGCCAAAGAGACGAGCTGCGAAGTATAATGACAACGAGGAAGAGGATGCAAGACAACCCTTACGAGTAAGTAACAAGAGGGAGGATCTATAGGATCGTGCTGATTCATGTATATGTACAATAGGATAAAGATGGTTTCGTGATCCCTGAATTGCCCACTCATAAACGACCCCAATCAACTACCAAGGTATGTAGCGAAAGCAACAACAATAGTAATGGGAGACTGATAGCGATTGTAGGAACCTTCTTTTACAGCACAAGACTCGTTTGCATCTTCCGATGAAGATTTGGAAAAGGATCAAAAGATGATGCGCGACAAGGTCAAACGTAAAAGACCAACGCCTATGCAACCATCGCCCCAGCAACCAGAGCAGCAGCCACAACCACAACCACAACAACCTGTCATCAGCACAAGACGTTCTACGCGTGGTACATTCACTGCTCAGGATTCTTTTGCATCATCAGATGAAGAGAGCGACATTAACAGCAAAGTGGAAAAACTCCATCAACGTCGCGCAGTAAAAGTGACTCGACGACGACCTGCACCCGTTACTAAAACAGCCGAGTCCAACAAAAAGACACAAAAGGATGATGATGAGCAGGAATCGGATGATGATGAAGAGTACAAAGCAGACAGCAGCGATCATGAAGAGGAAGAAGTTGAATCGGTGGATCAAAATGGAGCCAATTTGATGGATGAAGTGGCATGGCTAGTAGAAGGTAATATAAGGCTATCATTGTTGTTATGGATAAAGCGCTGACATAGATGAGTAGACAACGCAATGCATGAAACTCGTATTCTGGGTAAGCCACGCAGCGAATGGTACATGCTATTCGGCTATCTATTTCGGGCGTATCTCGGATTGGTTTGCTTGGCATTATTGGGAACAGCAGTGACCGTATCAACACGTGCCTACAATGGATATTGTGATTCTGGACAAGGTAAGCAATGGCGAGCGTAATGCTTTTGTAAAGGACCGGTGTTTGACCTTTTTCTCTTATAGATGGCATATCCCACATTTCATGTATCCCGTGCCCTGATCATGGTGTATGCTCCAATGGTCAACTCCAATGCCCACCTTTGTATCATGTTCATCGCCCTTGGTACAATGCCTATGGCTTATTACCGATTGCCGATGAATGTATGCGTGACTCTGCCATGGGACGTGCGATCGACTCTACCGAAAAACAAATCAAGCGTATCTTGGCTCGTGCTCAAGGCAAAGAAGTTTGTGAACAAGTGCAAATGGGTGGTCATCTCGATGATAGTGCTGTTGCACGCATGAACGGTACAGAGCTTCATGATACCTTGTTACAAATGCAACCTGCTACAGATGAAGTACGTGCATATGAGATTGAAAGTAAGCTGCGTTCGATATTCACTCGTTGTCCTTTTTTAGGAAATCGATGCTGATACATTCCAATTGATTGTTTCCAACGCTATTACACAAGCTCTGGAAGATCCCATGATCCAGAAAACAGAAATGTAAGTAGATCAGGAATGAGAAAAGGACAAAGGAGCTCACAAAGGTTCTATTACAGTGGTGGGATACCCTACTATAGTACCAGCAATGCCGATATGCCACTGTGGTGCTCTGCAACAGTGTTGTTATTGCATGTACCTACTCGTACCAAGTATATCAGTATAGGTAATGAGGCGGCTATAGGAGGGTGTGCATGAATGGATGGGGTTACTCATTTCGATATGACAGGTGTCTTTATTGGGTTCTGGATGGTGGTTTATGCGGTTTACAAATACCAGCAACACTACAAGAGGAGTCAGCGTACAAAGGCCAAGTTGAACCAAATCCTAAATGCTCTCCAGGAACAGGTAATAGTTTAGGTAATGAAAGAGAGGACACATGTGTTAACTTTTTTTTACTAGTTGAAGAAGCACAAGGATCATCCTGAATCATACGATCGTGGTATTCCAGTCTCACAGCTTCGTATTCAGACAAGTGCAGGACGTGTTAATGAAGGCGATGAAGTCAAGGACTGGCTACGTGTGGTCCATCAAGTCAACAAGCATCCACAAGTACGTCGGGGTCATCGCGAAGTAGCAGGCGAATTATGTGAAATTTGGGAATTGGCTCTCTAGGCTCTAATTCATGCATTTTTCCTCATCCTTTCCATCATCCTTTTACACACACACACACGCACACATGTACATGATGTATATATTCACACACACGCCTGCCATTGCATTTTACTTCTCTATCCAACCTTATCACCCGCTCTTTCAAGAGATTTTGTACAAATAAAAATTATCCATCTCAAATGCAGTAGTACTATACACTTTCTTTGGCAAGAGAGGGAGAGAGAGAGAAAACACAAGACATTATACATTTTACTACATGATCGAGCGAGGAAAAAGAAATAGAGGGAGGAGAATGATGATGATGATGCGGTTGATATGAAATGATGATGAGGGGGACGTTTGTGAAACTAATAGTATCTTCCTCCACCATGCACGCCAGCATTATTTTGCTTGTAAATATCATAACTATCGTATCGACTATCGCCGCTGACTTGGTACTTGTCTTCATACATACCACCACCTCCTTGATAATAATTGCCGTATTGATTATGAGAACCAGCCGTGGTGGGAGTATCAGGTGACATGTCATCTAGACGAATACCGGATTTGCGACGACGACGACGTTCCTCTTCTTCTTCAGGATCACCATGGATAGCACGCGTACACAAGATGGTGATACCATTTGTCAATGCCAATAATTCAACAGCCAAGGCGGCAAAAAGAACAAGATACACGCGAGTGAAACACATGTGTGCATACTGATTAAGGGTATCGTAGCAAGGAGGCTGGGTGGAAATTTGACCGGAGGATGGGTTGCAAGTATCGGTGACAGCAGGTTGATCCATGGCATTATTGTATCCACAGCATTCAAACTACATACCCAACAAAGGGGATCAGCATATACACACACACACTTACATAGGTGGATAAACATACCTCGTTTTGCAAAGTTTCTCGGAATGAATTGGTACCTGTACTCCAAAGAGGAGCTAAATAGGATGCAGTATTGGCGCCTTTTTGATACACCTTGACACCAATGACGACTTGAAAGACCAGAGCAATCACGACAATGATCATGTAGACGATAATGATTCCTTTACGATGCTTGAAGGCTCCAGCAATACCAAGCAAAGCTGCCAAAACGATAATGGCACCGAGAATAGCAATGACTATAAAGGTTGTTGCTTTAGTGATCTCTTCCATGCATGAAGTTGTTGCCCCGTATTACGTTTAAAAATCAAGGGTGGAAACAAGATAGCTCCCTTGAATCCATCTCGAAAGCCTATCACGCCAAATGCAATAAAGGCAACACCGAGACAGGCAACGAGAAGATTGGTAGTCAGCATGTAGAGCTTGCTCAGCCTAATATCATTGGTTCAAATGAATATTAAATCGTCGTGGTTGCTATGGTGAGAGGTTGTAGCGTGCTGACCTTGCGCAACATGTTGCAGCCATGACTTTAAGATTTCGGTAAAGGAGTGGTGTGGGTCGTAGATTCGTGTGGAATGACCGTCAAAGACGTGTGAGTGAGTGGGTGTGTAGGTAAAAAAGTGGTGTTGATAATAAAAAGAGCGGGAGCGGGTGTTGTTGTCGTTAGATATAAGGAGAAGGAGGAGGAGGGAAGGAAAGAAGGAGGAGCAAGTTTGATTACAAGAGCTCCAAGACGCTTAATAGTCTCTACTGCACGCTAGATGAACCATCTCTTTTTTTAGTTTTTGGTTGTACGACATCAGCGATCCACTTTATAGGCAAATGCTGAAATGAAAAAGAACGCTTGCACACACTCAGCCGGAGTCAAAAAGTCAACTCATTTGCTTCGTTAATGATGATTTGCTTGGCTTGTTGCTGGCACTTGGGCTCATCATAGCTTATGTACAAAGACGTAGAATGGATATACGTGTGTGCACGTGTGGAGTGGAGGCTAGGGAGCAAATGATGCCATACATGCATATAGTGTGTGCTGCATAGATCATCCCACCAGCATACGCACGTTTTATACGCATACATGGACATCCACCACCGCCATACATAGTATGGAAAAATAGGAATTACGTGAGAGTGTGGATAGGTGGATGGCTGGGTACTGGGTGGGTGTGTGAGTGTGAGTGTGAGTGTGTGGGTGTATGTCTGAGTGTTGTGGGGTGATTGTGTGGTAGTGAGCTTCTCCATTGAATGAACCATTGTTACACATTGATCCTGCAGCGAACAACCGTAATCATGTTTTTCCCTCAATGCATTCATTGTGCAGCGAGCCACATCGAACATGCCATGTCTCTGCACCATCATCCTTTATTCAAACCACGATTGCGCAATGCTAGTAGGTGAGGCTTGATTTGCTGATACCAAAGGTGATGCGATCATTCTCGCTGCGTATCGAACATGCATACGCCAATACCAGGACTAGGTTTGACAACATGGTAAGTCGCCTTTGTAATAATGGGGTTGCGCATTGGGCGTACAAGTGATTGATTTCCCTGATAGATTTCTTAGTATCACCTTGTTGGCCGATGTATGCATAGACAACATTACATGTAGGCTCCTCAGACTTAATCTTGGTATATGCGCCCCATCACTTTATCAATGCATCATCCCCAACAGATACAAATACCCACGCTCACAATGCACAATAAAAGGATGTTGTCGCCGTCCATCGCACGCCTACACGTCTCTTTCTTCTGTCATGCTTTTTTAATTGCTTACAAAGTCAAATCACCAAGGTTTGTGTGTTCACATCATTCAACTTGAGAACAAGCGCTGATCCTTGTGGTCATTCATATATAGTGCTTTTCATTTTTATTCTATACTCACTGGCGATCGTTGTATTGCGATATTGTATTCTTTTAAAGAGGTAAAGCCTGATCATGTTCCTTGATGAGTCACTACTCATGCATGCCATCTTGTTACTTTCGATATAGCTATCTCCCTTGATGCATCTGCAAAAGTTGGTTTCGATGCCATAATCTACATCGGGTGCTGAAAATGACATGGTGCGTTTGTCATGGTGCAAAGAACAAACAATACCTCCCTTTGAAACCCTTCTCGAGAATCTCGCACAGTCTTCACTACCCAAAAAAAGAGACTCTCGCACAGTTGTCCTTAGCGTGGCTCTGATAGCTTCCGCTTTGCAGATAGGCTTACAGATGCTAATGTAGCTGGCGTACGATCACATTCTAAAAAGCATTGCTATGATATCGATATCTAGAATCACATTAAACTTTCCCCCCACCTTTGATATTATGGACTTATGTGTTGGATCAGCAGTGATCAACAAAACTACACCATTAGCAACAGCAGGATTTGTGCCACCATCCATTCTAATTGTCAAGCTAAATCTATTCGCGGGGGATCAACTTTTTTTAGTTTGAAGCTAACCAAGGACTTGACATGAACGAGAGAAAGGCCCAGATCACTCTTTTCCCATCACCACCACCACCACCATTTCATCCAATCCAATCACACTCGCAGGGTAGCCATAGATAAGGTACATAGATAAGAAACATGCTTTATGGTTGTTAATTCTAAAATGGTAATGATGACTTTTGTTTGGCAGCTTCCTTTAATTTGTCCTAGATAAACCCCATGTATATCAATATAAACCATCCTCATCATCATTGTGATCTCAATCATTACCTCCTTCCAAGCTTGAATGGTTTGAGGCATCTTTTCCAAGTTTTTGCGAATGGTTTCTTGACGTTCAGCTCGCATACGTTCGTGTTTTTCAAGTTTGTTGGGTTTGGTGCGAAGGGGTTTCTTTGATGCAACAGGTGGCAAACCAATCGAGAGGGGATCGACACCTTCTTGAATGCAGGCCTTTCGCAAATCAGCTTGCACTCGCAAACTCACTTGAGGTGGACGCCAGAATCCCTTTTGCTTGGCTTCATTCCATACGTATTGTGGTTTGACATCGGCTTCGGTCAAAGGTTTGCTGAGGCGTTGAAGGAATTTAGCAGAGAATAGTCGTTTGCTGGACATTGTGTTGTGTGTATATATGAAATGGCGAGGAGAAGAGGAGGAGGAGGGGATGCGACTGCTTGTTTTGTGTCGGAAGGAGAAGTGAGAATAAAAGGAACCCAACAACATCGGTTGGAATAGCGGGGGCCTGACACAAGCCTCCGTTAGCTACACACAACTCCGTGCATGATTAGATACCCACTTGCATACAATTACAACATACATTGGCATAGAGTCGAATGCTATAAACATAGTTGTCAACAAAAATGATGGATTTACCATTGCCGTGTCGACCCCTTGCATAAAGGACACCTTTACAACAGAGCCACTATGCTTCTTTCCGATGACAGCAAGGAGGATGGATATTGACATGGCCTTGTTTTGTGTTGGATCATGTGTTGAATAAATGCTATCCTGCTCTTCGTATGTGTTTTAGATGTTGTCGTCATGCTCTTTTATTGTTATTGAGTTCTTTTATGAAGGAAGGGTATGATGTAGGATGCGCCATGGATCTAAGGATAGAAAGAAGCAATTTTAATCGTATAAAAGGGTACATAGTAATAGTAGTTCATATCAATACATACAACAAGAGGCGCAGTGAGATAAGTGCAAAAAGACCAAAGTGAAAGGAAAACAAAACAAAAAAGGTCGGAATGGAGAGAGAGAGAGAGAGAGAGAGAGAAAGTGTGTGAGGAGGGGGTGCAAGTGTGTTGTACATACTCCAATTTTTCTCTCTTTCTCTCTCTTCTCTCTTTCTGCCTCCTTCCTTTTCACTCACTTGACACACAACCTGCTTTGGTATTCAACTATGCCAGACAACACCATGGCCATCACTGGCGTGACAAAGTCTACAGACGGCGACGAAGACCAATCTTTACCCACCATGCAGCAGCCCAACCAAGAGTCGGCATCAGTGCAATCCCTGATCACCATGGAGGAGCTCGAAATGTTCCAATTGGTCAAGCAACATGTGGAAGCCAAAGACCTTGACTACAACGACTTTTTAAAGACCATACATTTACTCTATACCAGCGGCGTATGTGATGCCGAGTTCCTTGTGCAACAAATTCAGCCTTACATTGGAGACGACGCGTATCTCTTTGACTGGTTCAAATCCATCTTGGGCTTGCAAGCATCTCGTCGCACATCCATTCAGCCAACCATCACTTCAAATGATACCAAAGCATCGCCATCCATTCAAGAAGCCGATCACGTGGATGAATGTACCACAAGTTATCGCTACGCATCCAAAGAAGCAAGTATCATCTGATATATACATAGCATGATGTCCCAACTAACAATGTCTTTATAGTGGAAGGAACAACCATGTACAGGCAAAGACGCCCTATGTCATGAGGTGTTGAACAATGACTATGTATCCCATCCAATATGGCAACGAGAAGATAGCGATTTCCCTGCCACCAAAAAGAATCTTCACGAACAAGAAATGCATGGCTGTGAGGAAGAGAGGTAACAATACAAAAGGTCCATTTCATAGTGCTTGTTTCTAAACTCGTTTTTCCTGTAGACACAAGTATGATTCAGCGATTGACATCAATGCGAGTGCAGTTGCCTATTTGGAGTCCATGATGGCAGCTGCGGCAGGTGAATTTGCCATCAAGGAGGAGAAATTAGTGTTGAATTCCGTCACCATCTCAGCCATCAAGCGAGTCTATGACAGTCAAAGAGCTCAAGAGGTCCTCGGCATGCTTCAAAAATACCCCGTTCAGATTGCTCCCATTGTTATAAAGCGATTACGTCAAAAGGGTGCTCAATGGAAACGAAAACAGGTACATCATCATCATCATCATCATCATCATCATCATCATCATCATCATCATCATCATCATCATCATCATCATCATCATCATCATCATCATCATCATCATTCCTCTCTCTTTCTCCCACTAACAACTTTTATTGTAGTATGAGTTATTACCGATATGGCGAGAACGAGATGCCAAGAATTATTATCGCGCACTTGATTATGCAGCCTTGACGTTCCGAACAGTGGATCGGAAGGCAACCACCACGCAAAAGATTCTACAGGAGATCAAAAATAGGCAAGGGCATTGGGCATTTGAGTATGGCGAAGACATGAGCGTGATGCAAGATGTGGTCCACGTTATCCTTTCGTATGCAACACGGCATCATGCAATTGTCGATCGTGATGTTATTCGAAATTTCCTTCATCGATTCATGCCGTGGTTATTTGGCTTGTACGGCATTCCCGAATTACAGCCTTCATCCTCCGCCTCCTCTTCCTCTTTCTCTAACACCATCAACAATGATACCACCACCTCATCATCCTCGCCATCACAGCAACAACCTGCTGCCATCGCATCTTACCCGTATCCATCACTCCAACCCATCGATGTACTTGCTCAATTACCATCATCATCACAGCACCAACAACAACAATATTTTTATCATCTCACGCCAACATCACCATCATCATCATCAACAACACATTCAACAGCATTTCCTTCCAATCATACCCTTCATGATCATCATCGACCTATTTACCTGAATCACGCGACCCCTCTGGCAACACCACCTTCATCCGACCATGTAGACTTTGATATCGATGACGATTTAAAGCAACCTCTTGTCATTCTCGACAACAGCGATGATGAGAGCTTGGGTCAACGATCGACTTATTCAAGATCATCTTCACCCATTTCGTTTTCACCCCCCGGTACATCAGGTACCACATTCGAGTCCCCTTATCGTACCGGCTATCCTAAAAGCACATGCCTCTTTTGCAACGATGACTTTTATTGCTTTATTCGCTATTATCAGGCAAGTAACATGACTCAATACAAGCCAATACCTTTAGCTAACTAACACACTTGCGTGTAGATTCTTTATGAACGTCTCTTGTATATGAAGAATCTCAATCGTCCACGCTATGTTAATTCCGTTGCCCGAAGACTCAAGATGGATCAGCATTTACCAAAAGGTAACCAAAGACCGTCGTTTGATGATGGCTTTACTAAGATATGGATGTTTATAGAACCCAAGGACAAGACATATTATGAAGAATGTCTTGACGCCATCGACAAGCTTTTTGGTCGTAAAATAGGCGCTGCCAGATTTGAAGAAAAGTTACGATCCTTGTATTCTGTGGAAGCGTACCCCATGTTCACGATCGATAGACTTACCATTGCCCTCATCAAGAGTGTAAGTTGATAATAATAATAGCTAGCGCTTCTCATTCACGTGGATACTAATTCCCCCATTCTTAGATCATTGCTTTTGACTCCAAGGCCAGGGAAGCCGTAAAAGACGAAAACAACCCTGTATTTTTCCAAGAATTCAATGGTGGTATCAGGCTGCAACTTTCACGTGTTGTGGCACAAAACAAAAAGCTCTTTGAAATCAATATTGTAAGTCAAACCATCTATGATCATGTCGCTGTGTGTATTCACAAATCTACGCTTTATAGGATCATGCCCATCGACGCGTCGCAATGACGGATTGGTCTGCAAAAGACTAGATTGCTTTGAATAAAAATAGGCCTTTTTCATACCCCATTCGTTGTTGACATCGTGTCATGATCCTCATCGCGTATAGCTCATTCATCACCATGCTATGTATCAATTATAAGTTTACTGCTAAGACAATAAACAGAGCACATGTGCTATCAAAATCAAGTGGTCAATGCAGATGACACATATAACAACAGCCTTTAAATCCAATGCATGAATAATAGAGGAGCCCCATTTTATCTTAGCCTGGACCAAGTAGCCTTGTAGATCATGTAGTAACAAGCGTAAGGTTCAACTATGCTTTGCACATTCATGCATGTATACCAAACTCATCGATGCTTCATAGGATACTTATTAGTGACGTGCGCTTGGCAACCATCCACTGGTCTACGTGATGAGCCATCAAAAGGATGAGATTATGGATGGGTCATTGGAACCATCATCTTGACCGTAAATATCAATCCTTTGGCTGTCGCATGCTCGTACGCTCCCCTTACCCATATTGCTTACCATTGAACCCTTGTCCTTTCACTGGTACTGATTTATACATGGATGGGCTCCCGTTTTCATTTTATTTAATACCAGCGGCTCAACACATCCAATAAAGATACACGCATAGAATAACGTGATGAAGCAAAAGTAAGTGGTTGCTTTCAAGCGGAATCTCTGCCACGACTTCTCTCGATCCCAGCAACAACACCATGCATCCTGCTTTGCAGTCTCAACATCTTTACACAACGTCACTTGCAAAGGAGAAGCTAACGATCCAACCAGAGTGTTGTTGACAAAGCACTCATTGAGCTAGTACAGCAGCATCATGCAATGCACGTAATTGGATAGCAAACCCTTGTACGGTTTTCTGCATCACCTATGTGATGTGCGTATTTGCTTCCATTCGTTCATGGTGGACATCGTACCTTCCTGTAACTAAAACGATGATGACCTCGCTAATGATACGGCGGGTGGCATGTATCTCACACCATTCGTAATGTGGGTGTATGGGGTTCGTGGTGGTTGTACCTACTACTGTAGGACCCAGATTCTATTAAAAGATGCACTGACGCAGGTACATGCAGATCGCGTTGCATCCCATTTATGTGTGTTGACCTTGAACGTGGCTGCTGTATACAAACACAATCCCAATGGATGCGTGCATGTTTATTGTTCTCTTCGCCATGCTGCAGCACGCAGCCATACGTATACTACACCCATTGGCGTACTCATGTAATTCATTAAGGATGGTCATGGTGACACGTATTATGACTCCATCAACGATCAAAGTGGATACAGGAAAGATCACAAAGGCAATGCATGGGTGGAAAGTAATATTAATGCAAGCAATGCGATGTATGTATGTACTGCTGATGTTGCATGCGGCGTTACGCGTATAATGTAATTTGTGTGCTTGTGCAGTAGACTTTTTATAGATCAAGCCAGCAATGCCTGAGTGATTTATTTCATTCACGTTCAATGCTTGAAACGATCAACCACCCTGGTACAGTGAATGAATCATCTAATGTCTACGTGGTATTACATACACAGCCTTGTTTGAGTGATGATGATGTTGATAGTAGCGCCATGGAAAATGGTGCCTTGCATTTTTGTTGTATGTATGCATGCTCTCAATGTAAATAGAATCGTGTGGTGTTCTACGGGCAGTTATCGTTCTTGATGTTTTGCATAGACATGGTTGTTGTCAAAATATCCTTGAAAGGCCGTTGGTTTCTATATCCACGGCATCAATTAGCGTGTCCTCGTTGGTTATAAAAGCAAACGGAATCATCCAATATCAATCATCATTCAACACACACACACATACACACAAGATGGCCTTTAAGATTCTCCCATTTTTTATTGTTCTCATTGCCCTCGCATGCGTGAACCATGCTGCTCCCTTGGTCCGTACTAGTATGAACGTCAACAAGCGTGATTTTGATCTCGATGATGATTGTCTTGGTGATGTCTTTGACAAGCGTGACGAAGAGGAACCAGCAGATAGCCCGGAGGACATTCGTGATGATTTGATGGAGAAGAAGCGCTGATTGTAGTAGTATATAGTTTCCCACATGTTAATGAGTATAACTTGCTTTAAGGAGACCTTCCTTTGTTGAGAATAAATACCTTCACTGAATCGAACGGAAAAGAGATGGATGATCCACACTGCATGCTCTCACTCGCCCATGGCCTTGACACCATTCCAATAAGTGTCTCACTTGATTGCTCCCAAATCCATCCAAATCCGTATCATGGCAACCACCTTATACGCAATCTCGTGGTCTCCCGAGCCACTTCATGAACCAAGTCTTTGGCTTTGGTGCCCATTTCATTTGTCATGGTGTTCATCTGATCCTCGTCCAACTGCTGCATTGCGTCAAAGCTCACGTTGCTACCCATCAGCTCTTGTTGTGCATTCCCTCGTTCAGCAGCAACATGTAGGTATTGGCGTTGATTGTTGCAAGCTGCTCAATGTATTGGATCTCTAGTGTGCTTGTGCTGCCGTAGTAAGTAGGCTCAACAGCGCAACCTCATGAATCAATTTGTCAAAGTAAAATGATCCCAACCATACCATTCCCTGATACCATAAAAGATACCCTTTCCACACGTTCCGTTATGATGATCCTCTGATGTACAAAAGTGTAAATAAAGATGATTCAGTAGTAAGTTTATTCTCTTTTATCAGAATCCAAAGATACATTTAAAGTGCCTGGGAGCCATGCATGATGTTGTCAACCTTGGTATTACACAACTAGCCTCCTCACCCAACCCCGCCATGACTCAATCGGCATTGACCGTTCCGTATCCTTAGTTACCACCATTCCCCATAAATACATACACAACAGAGTGAAAGAGAATGTCATCTATGCCAGGTCTATTAAGGAATAAAGATAATATCATACATTTAGAACCAAGATGCGATCCAAGAGGAAATGCCACTGCTTTCACCCTCTTCCAAAACGGATGAAGCGGCCACAGATGATGATGGTGATGATGATTCTTGTTCCTCTTTTTCCTCCTTTTCTTCCTTGACCTCAGGCTTGGATTCCTCCTCTTCATCATCGTCGTCATCATCAATCTCGTCGCCATACACATCAGGATGCTGTCGGAAGCAATTTTGCATATCACGGAACTTGTCAACACAATCAACACCCTTGGGTTCAGCATTCGAATAAACAAAGCAACTAAAGGCAGCCTTGAATTCTTCACCACATGGACCTTGAGCCATACCTCCTAGACCTTTTCATATCCATAAGCTCTCTGCATTCGCTTTTCTAAAGAACCAAAACACTTACAGGGACAATCCCAGTTGATCTCGCCAGTCTCTGGATCGAAAGCAGCAGCTTGATCATTGTCTTCTCCTTTGGATTCTTGCTCATTGCTCTTGGGGACCTCAATTTCAGGTTGTTGTTCAACATAGTCCTTGTCGACAAACAAAACTTTGTCCTTTCCGTCTTGCTTTGCGTATGACATTGTGTGTATGGTTGTGGGTTGGGTGTGGTATGTAGAAGAAAAATAGAGAAAAAGAAGTGTGACCCTGGGTCGGGGTTTGTTTGACAGTGCTTTAATGTTGCTTTGATTGTACACACACACGTACACACCTACTCCACTGAATTTGTAAGCAAAGAATGAGATGGGTGACTGTGGCAACGGGCCGTTTATCGGACCAAGGAGATGAGATAGACAACTTTATTTACGCAGCGAGATGAGGAGAATGGTATATAGGAATATATTACAAATGATGGGGATAAAGGGTAATGATGATGATAATGTTGATTATACAAGGTTGCCATGCACGCGTACACGATAAATACAAGTAAATTCATCCTTGTCCCAATTACTAAGAAAGCGAAAGACGATATCCCGGAGAGGAGGTGAATCGGTTTTAAGCTTGAATGTTTGAACTGGTCCAGTAGCATTGTCGCCAATGTTGTACTTGAACTTGCCGAGATAGACAGCTTCTCCCCTTATAGATGCAGCTGGATCCCAAGGATATTTCCACGTACCCGTAGGCTTTTGCGTTGTCAATCCCCATACCTCGAAATCCTTGGGTGCACTACTCATGTCGATGGCTTGATGAGGATCCACGTGATCAATGGAGACTGCGTTGACCGATATTCTTTGACTCAATCGTACACCAAGTGATCCATATTGGCCAGCCATGGGCCAACATTGTCCAGGATGAGTATCGGGTAAGAGTGCCATGACGGGTGAGCTGGAAGGTGAAGAATGGAAGAATGATCGATGCCGAATAAACCGATAGAGACCATATCGCCATCCTCTTTTGCTGTCTTTGTCAAATGATGCTGTTGTATATCGGACGAGCACACGTGATCCAAGTGTAGCAAGAGCAAAATCGGGTGATTGAGCTTGTCGAATCATATAACGATCATCCATTGTCTCCATTAGTTCCTGAGAATCAATACGTCCAGTGTCAGGGTCCAAAGGTATCCATGAAGGTAATACTGAAATGATGGCATCACGGAATAATTCCACGTTTTGTCTTGCGTTGTGCACACCCTTTGCTTGAGAAGATCGATTCGAAAGTACATCTGAACGCCATGCTGTAATATCTTCCTTGTGCCCAAACAACAATACAGATAGAATCACTGCATAAATCACGCCTGCCATTATACGAAAGACCATTCGCACTTTCCCTTGATCCGTATCATCCTCTGATAACAGCATCCTTCTTGGATTGATATAATCGCGATCCTTGTAGAACCCAAAGAGTTTCAACACGAACATGCAAGAGTTGGCAATCAACGCAAAGCACGCCATATCAGCAAAGGCAAACAATGAATACACCAGCTCCTTGGATAAGAAAAGCAACAAGAAAATGCCGTAGGTCACTGCCATGTAAACACTTTCGAAACGAGGTTGGATATACGGCCATAACAATCCCTTTCGTTGTTGTGGTGAGGATCGTTGCTGTTGCTGCTGCTGTGGTTGCTCTGGTTGCTGTTGTTGACTTTGAGATGGTGTTGTAGCAAATCCAGAATCCACCGCGTTGCTTTGTCTAATGCCGTCGTCGTTGTCATCGTCATGGTCGTCGTCATGGTCGCTATGGTCTTCGTCATCGGATGGCATAGATGCACCAAGGATAGAGAACTGGTTGTGGTAGTCGTCATAGGTGTCAGGATTGTTGACAAGATCGTCCAGTTCTTGAAGAGGATCCAACCAATCTCCACTCACTATGAAACCCATTTAGAATAAAGCGAGTGTGAAGACTTTTTCTTTTTCCTTACATTGTCGACGAGCCACCTGTCGTTCCCTGATGGATTGTGTAGGACTGTAGTATGGATGTGGCGATGCGTGTAGAGACATGAGGAGGAGGAGGAGGAGGAGGGGGGAATGAGTGAGTGAGAGAAAGAAACCACTGAAAGCAAAAACACGCGCTCTTTATGTCGCCCTCAATTGATCATTCATTGTCTCTGCCTAAAATTATCCCATTGTATCCTACTACACTATCAATGAATGAATCGTACGCACGCTTTGTAAAGGGGCAACCAATATTACTACACTACTAAAAAAAGAAAGGGCAACACCAACATCCATCTTTGGAAGCACCAAAACAACCTACCCAACTGTACTTCTTTATGCCATCGGACAATCCTTTGCCCTGAATCATCCTCTTCTTTGTTGATGACTCCCATCCTCTTGATCAAAGTGACATGTTCATTTGACATGAGACATGGTGACGCTGATACTCCTCATGGACACATTCTACAAAAGACAATACCATCAGCGTCAATAGTAGTCAAAGCTTTTTTAGGCGGAAGAAACCGAGTTTTTATTTCAACGCACGTCCAAGAGCGGTACGAAGAAGGAGTTAAATATACATTTTGATAGTAATAAATGATGTGTATCTCAACGCTGAGCTATGACGCATTGAACTTGAGCAAAGATGATTTGAGGCATGAAGGCCTTTTGATCGAATAACCATCATCGCCAGTGAGCTTTCCATAATGTCTCCAGGGTAATTGCCACAATGGTGGAACTGGAGATAGTTGGGCGGACTGGGAGGAAATTGAAGATGATGGAGAGCTTGAGAAGCAGCGTGGCCAAACAAGGGACCACACCACCAGTTTCTTGGAGCGGCCGAAGAGGAAACGATCCAAGGTGTCTGGTTCAGAGGTGCATAATGGGCAAGTTGGTGATGAGAATGGGTTCAGAAGATACTTGTGAAACAAGACACGACATGGCACCTTGTGTTGTAAAGAGCGATTCTTTGCGCTTGTGGTCAAGGACAGGCTCCAAAAGTGGTTCCAACGAGATGGTGGTAGTGGAGGAGGAGAGTCTTGGCGTGCAAATGATTTGGGGTTGGGGATGATGGTTTTGCGGAATGGCTTGCGCTTCGTAATTGACATCAAACTTGAGGCATGCTATCAAAGTATCGACGTTGTGATCCATTGTGGCAGGGTTAGGTACACCAGGGAACAGTGATGGAGGTACACAAGCCCGACAAGCGAACGATTGGTAGCTGAGAACGTGTTGATCGAGTAAATGTTGAAGGCGATGAATGGAATGAGGTGCCTTAAGACGTAAACACCCCATATAAGCATCCATCTCAAACATAAGTATGCAATGTTGGGAAAGAGAAGCCAAGCTCCTATGCACAGGCCAAGAGAGAGGATGGACCAAAGGGTTGAGTGTATGCATCCAAAATGTGCATTTGAAGAACAGTACTTGTAGCCAGCATGACTTGATCGAGCTGTAAAGAAAATTGATCCATGGTATTGCACAGCATGCGTACAAAGGACACTGGAACCTGAAATTCCTTGGGACGCAAACGTTTGAATAATAATAGTAGTAGTCAAAGCAATGCTAGAATGATAGGATATCATCGGAGGTGATGTTCCCACCTGATATGCGTGACTTTTAGATTGACTAAATGATAGTCTTTTATTGACACTACTCGTTAATCATGCTGCATTGAAAATTTAGAAGCGAGAGGTGGGGTACTTACTCCAACTTTGAAATATGAAAAGGTTTACATCTATGATGTTTATCTTCGGAGATAGGAAATGGGTAACAATAAAAGTACGGTGAGACCTGAAGTGTGTGACTCTTTGATTGACTTAAATGATAGCCTCTTATTACAACTAGTGGTTAATGTATTACATTGATGATTTCATAGAGAAGGGTGAACAACTTACTCCAGCTAGGGAGAATTACAACATTACAAGGTTAAGCTATAGGAGAGACAATAACGAAAAATCAATGTCTATGTACATATAATGTTCTATCATAAGTGAAAACTTGGGCAATGGGAAAAAGGTGGTCTCTTGATGGAGCTATCAAAGATCGGTCACACGAGATTTAACCCTTTCACATTATTGTTATAGGGTCGTGAACTGTTGCGTGTCTATACACACAAGTACAAAACAAAAGGGGATAAGTATACAATGGAAGCTGGCACAAGTACACGGTGTACAATAAAAGATGACTACCAAAGACAAAGATAGTGTATGGGGATGAATGTGTGTGTATACGCGTGCGGTACAAGAATAGTAAAGATGATAACTACACTAAAAGATCCACCATCGACATAAGTATCTTCATCCTAGTAGCCTTGTCGCCGTCCTTGATATACATACATGAGTGTGGGATCTCACGCTGGAATAGAAAAACGCTATGTCAAAGGAAGTGTACGATATCAAAGGAAAAAGAGATCCGTTTTATTACTCAAGCAATGTATTGTTGTTTATATATGCGTGGGTGGGGTGTGTGTCTAGCTGGATTTGGGTAATGTCACAAGGTGGCTATACGATGACCACAACAGCATCACGCTCCCCTTGCCAACCAGGTGAGACGTTGTCACGACCTTGTCTGACAATGTAAGCCTTCAAATGAGCACCATTAACCCGTCTTTTCAAAATCTTTCCATCAGCAGTCGCAAGCAAAAAAGTATTGTTGTTGAACGCTGCTAACACGCAATAAGGAGTAGGTTGAAGTGTGGGGTCGAACTTCCCTTGCTTCTTGTGGTTGAGTCGAAGGACCAGGATTACAATAGGGAACATCTACATGAACTGCAACTTCCTTTAGTGCTCAATCTTCATCATCCATATTTCGATCTCGCAAATAAAACACAAGTTTCATGCCCAATCTTCTTCCGATTTGTTGTATGTAGATTGTTGCTATGATGTGCAGGTGGTTGAATACCATACAGCAACTCGTAAGGTGATATCCTCAATGTTGAGTAGGCCTTGGTACGGTAAGCATAAAGTACAGTCTCCAAAGCCCAAATGGTCATCCCAATGTTGCGGGTGGTGGTAAGCCAACTTCTTCAATCCTTGCACGATGGTGCCATTCATCTTCTCGACCTTGCCATTCGTTTGTGGATGATACCGAGCCGAGAACTTGTGTCTGGAATTGACCAACTTGATGAAGGTGTCAAATATGGGATTACCAAAGTGAGATCCATTATCGGATAGAATGTACGTGAGGGGGTCAAGCTTGCAGAACAACTCCTCGTACAAAAATCTTGCCGCTTCAATGGCATTAGCTCTTGACACAGCCCTCGCCGCTAGCCACCTTGTATAGTGTTCCACCACCATGATGAGATACTCCTTACCTCTTATAGACGCAACGTCAAAAGGTCCCACAAAATCGATACCGAACATCTCGAACAGACCATTCACATCGACTTGCTTCTTGTGCGATCTTTCCTTCTTAGGGCTTGCTCCGAAGATTTGGCACGAGTGGTAAGAGCGGGCATGTTGCTTTACATCCTGGCCACCAATACTCAGCGATAAACCTTTGCCTATGTCGCTTCTTGACCATAATGGCCAGTATACTCATGCGATGCCTCCATGATTCCTTCCCGTTGATCCAATTCGGGCTGTGGTAAACGTCAATAGGCCCAAGTGCCCAAATTAGACTTGGATCAACATTGGTCGCTTTATTTGTTAAATGACATCTTTATACACCGAGGACAATAACATAGGAATAATGATAATAACAATGATAACAATGAGAATGATGTAATTACCCAATGGGCATGAAAGCATATAAGTAGTGATATGGTATAGGTTAATAAACATCAGTTCCAAGATACTTTTCTTAGTCTCTTTTATTGAATTCTTTATCGTGCCCCTCACACGGGCACCAAAAGTACTCCTTGCTTGGTACGATGATATACGTTGTAGCTTCCCTTCTTGCCATGCATAAAGATGTGCCTTGTGCGCATTACTATGTACACATCACTTGTGGGGATTGATTTTTACATTAGATGCAAGTTAAGAATGACCAAGCTGAAGTTGTAGACATGATAGATCAGAACCAGAAAAATTAGAAAATCATGACATCATCGGCGTAGGCAAAGCACTTTAGCTGAGGGTTCATTTAATGAGCTGAATTCAAAGAAACCCCTTCAAAAGTGTTGCCGTCTAAACTCGCCTCTAGCAATGGTTCAATTGCAAGGTTGAAAAGAATTGGTGATAGGGGATCTCCTTATCGTAAACCACGTTGTTGAGTAAAAGCATCTGGAAGGTGTCCATTAGTAAACATTTATAATCCAAGTTTGCATAATTACCCAGAAGATGAATGTTGATCAGGGGATGGTGAACGATGATCAGGGGAAGGTGAATGATCATTAGGATTGTGGTTGGGAGAAGACATGGTAACAGAAACATGTATTCAAAATAATAGGATACTGTAGTGTTAAAGATACTGATGAGCAAGTCAAGTTGATCCGGATGCTGGTAAAGAAAAGAAAGTCGTGCGTGGTGGCTGAGGTAGAAGTGTCAGGTATGCTGACGGCGCAGAGAACACATCGATCGTAGGCTTTTTCTTGGTCCAAAAGGAGTGCTATAGATGAAGAGGACCTGTGACCATGTGCTTGTTCCATAGCAAGTTTTGCCAACATACCATTGTCGGCTATGCAGCGATCTGCTAAGAATCCTGTTTGAAAAGGATTGATCAAAGAATCAGCTGCTTGAATAAGACGCGCCTTCAGTAGCCAAGAGAAAATCTTAGCATCTGTGTTGATGAGTGAAGTTGGTTGCCAATTGCATAATGATTGCAGGTCTCCTTTTTCAGCATGCGAGTAACACAAGTACCTTGCCATGAAGCACGAAGTAGCTAAATTTATGTGGGGTCAACCTCCTGAAACTTTCTTTTGGCTGGTAGGGACGTTGGGTAAAGCTGAGGTTACCCCTAAGGAAGTTGAGACTTTGATTTTTTTGAGGTAGTGTAATTATTTAGAAAATCAATTCTAAAGAAGCTTGCGGCAGTTCTCTTGGCTGCTGTGATATCCGGCATGCATAAATACATACCAAGGGCTGGTCCCTTATACATTCCTACATCCATCATTCCTAATTTCAAGTGTATAAGGACACCTAATTCCATAATAAAATTGGTAGTTCATAGTCTCAGTGTATTCTTCACTGTCCCTTATCTTTATTCATGTCCACCACAGCTGCGAACCCTAGGTTATGGGTACCTCCCGAAGTGAAGAGCAAGCTAGAAAGCCTAAAGCTGAAGCACTTGGAACCTCGTGAATCATTCATCGAGCATCTTCGAGTATGTATTCTACTTTGCGCTATACGCTATAACTTCTCCTCTCTAGCAAAGGGTTCTCGATGAGCATTTTATTATTAGCAAGCGAGTGCTGAAGCTCTGTAGGATACAAAGGTATGGGGAATGATCAAGAAGAAAAAAGGAAAATCATAGCATGGTGCATTACATCAATGCGAAAGATCCATGGCCATTCATTGCTACTGTAAGGGACATACAAAAGTTAATGGGTAGTAGATTGTGTATTGTTGTAGCCCCAATGGAAATCATGCGCACATCTCTTGTAGGGTTGCTGCATTATGCACATATCCCTATTCATCATCGTAATGTTTACATCACCGACACCAGATGAAGATTCTATAAGAATGGCTTAGGTAGGAAACATTGACCTCACTTTAACCTGGCCATGGTCATATAGGATAATGCTATTAGTGTTGCCAAGCCAAATAACAGTGGTTCTAAATATGAATCTCAGGACGTCAATGCTGAAAGTGAGGCTGCAATGTTGGCTAATTCTCTATACCAAGCTCAACACCTACCTTCTTATAGTCCACTACTAGAAAATCAAGTTCATGAAAAGTACATAGTAGTAATGTGGTATAGGTGAAAAAATAAAAATCAGTTCTACGATACTTCTCTTCATCTCTTTTGCTAGTCAATGATGCCTCTCGCATTCACTTAGACATGTAGCATGCTCAAATACTATGACCAACGGCAGCTCCTTGATCTTGTAATGGTGCATTTTGTCTTTTAGAGCACCTTGTTGATGATTTCAACATGGACCTTTGGTGGTAGAGGGAATTCCAACACCGCTTGTTGGCCTTCAGGCTCTTATACATGAAATGCGCACAATAAAATAATAGAAGATGAATGATAAAGAGATGAGAGAATACAGTGAGGCTCGATAAAGGATGACTTGATTGATTTATTTCAAATGTTGACTTGCGGATGGAAGTTGGTCTTGTCTCTCGTGTTAGCTGGTCTTAAGCATCGCCGTCCTTTTTCCACCTTGTGAACCAGTCTAAGGCCACCTGTGGATCCTGCATCTTGCCTTCTTCATATACTTGCCACAAGGTTTTTCTCGCCATCTCCAAACAGCCCACAAAGTCGCCACGATGGGCTTCCACCCAAAGGTCATGGAACAAGGCAGCCTGCGCATTACCTGCATACGTGTTGATATCCAGCATTGGCTCTGCACTGATTGCTGGCGTCACAGCACGTGCTAGAAACTCAAATACGACATCGATCCAGCATGAATTATTGGTGTTACGTCCAAACCCAACATGGCGAGCCTTCGGTGCTGATGTGTCAGGAGGTGGTGGACAAGTGAGCAGTAGTTCGTTGGGACGAAATACGATCCCATTGGACGTTATGGAACGTGGGAATCGACAACTACGGCATTTGTTATTGTGGTGCCGGATGCTCCCCTATAACGGTTAGAGGTCAGGTACATTAAAGCACCATTGAACATCATATGGCTGACCACTTACTGATTGCTCGATTCAGCGACACGTTTTCCTTTTAAGGCATGCTCGAAAGCCATGCATCTACAATCTTCTACGCTGTGGACCCACAATAAGGAAAGAAAAGGAGATAATGAAGAATGCAGTAATACTACTAACTACTGATTGATTGTGAAAATGATTGTCCTTTTATACATGTTGTAAGGAATGAATGAATGGAATGTTACGTAAATAACTAGACCAGCTCATAATGTGACAGCGATTATGTGTATATGGTACACTCTGCATATTTGTGCTGGGACTCAGGACTTTTTTTGTTGTCTCGTTCCATGGACACCTCTTGTTGTTATTTTTGACATCAATGTCATGAGTAGATTGATTCACAGAACAGCATGGCTTGTTAGCAACCTTTTCATCAGCTCTCTTTGTGCACATGTTGGCTTACAGGATGTTGCTTTCAAATCCTTCTTTGGGGTTAAGCTTAGTTCATAGATGTAAAGAATGCTTTGCCAAAGGGTGGATACTCTTTGTAAATTGGGGCATCGCTATTGAGAAAGTAGGCTAACGCTTTTACTGAAATCAATGCCATTTACCAAAACATTTACAAAAAGAAAGCATCAACCTCATTTATTTAAAGCATCGATCCAATCTACAAAAAATCAATGTTCGCATTTATCAAAAGGAACGATCCCATTATCAAAGGCAGTGCTTGCATTCATGAAAAGCAATGGGCGCTTGATCTCAGCTTGAACCGAGCGACGGATCTAAAAGCAACAACCTGTAGCATGATGTTGGTCCTGTGATGAAGCAGCTATAGCTGCCTGCATGTCACATGCCCAGTTGCCTAGGCAACCAATATCCCTTGCCCACTATAAATGCCTTGACACAATAACAATCAACAAAAGACTCTTCTTTTCCTCTTACTGCTTTCTTGTCGTTTGACTTGGACTCGCCACGGATACTTGCCTGATTGCAGCTGCTCACCTAGAATAACTTCTTCAAGAGGAACGTCATCCATGATCTCCACCGCAAGTGTTGACCTTGACATGGCATCAGCCATAACATTCAAACCCCTAGACATGTATCCAAGTCATACATAGCTAAGGTAACCATCCACCTAGCAACCCTTGCAGATGTATTCTCCTTCAAGTTGTCGAAGAATAATAATGGCTTGTGGTCTGTAGCTGATCCAAACATGAGATTGCAACGTTGGGTGTTGGCTACGCAAGAATACCGCTTTCAAGTAAGGCGTATCTGTCATGACTTGACATGTCCTTCTTGGCTATATTGGCACATTCCTTCCTTTCATTTGACACATCCTTCTTAGCTAGATTACATTTTCCATCATCATAGGTTTATTGCCTTATCATCTTTAGACATATCACATACCCATCTCTTTTAGTATTATTGATCTTACTCACATATATATATCCACCGATTCATCATGCAATAAACCTTAGTCAGTTATCTTGGTCCTCTTTATCCTCCATATCTCTTGGCTCATCTCTCTCTCTTTGTGTCCCATCACATTCTATTCCTTGCACTGCTGTCCCGATCAGTAGGCATCATCATCATCTTCACCTCTTTTCCTGTTCCCTGTCCTTGTCCTGTTGGAAAGCACCTAGCACCTTCCACCATCCCAAACCCATTCCTCACAGTATCCCAGGGAAGAACAATGCTGTTCTTATTATTCTCTTGGTTACTGCAGCCAATAAGACATCTATATCAATACCCCTTATTGCTCTTTACTGTCATCGGTATGTAAAGTCTCCTAACATGTCACATCCCCTATTGTATTTGATTTTTCTTTTGTCTGATTGTGGATGCTGGCTTATGTGTTTCAAGAAGATCACCAGCATTTTTCTTGGGGTTCTTCTTCCTATTGCCCTTTCACGCCATCTGAGAATACAACCCCATCCAATGCCAAGGCGGAGGTCGACCAGGAACATGCAAGGATCGAATTAAGAGTATTGATTATTGGCTGATCTTGCACAACCCTTTCGATACAGGTCTCGGTGGAAGCTCTCAGCCGCATTTGTTATTAGCTTGGCTCATGCTTCTACAGCTTGTAGGTGAGATCTTGCTTCGAGCTGTAGAAGATCATTGATCGGATTTGTGGTCGAGACCACTAGGTAGTCCAATTTTCCAGGGCTTTCAAGCGATTGCGTGTGGTAGACACTAATAAAAGATAAAGAAAGAGAGGCAAGGAAAGATACAGTGAGGCTGTGAACTACCGATTTATTATAAAAAGAAGTGTCCTTATATACTTGTTATTGAGAATGAGCTCACTGTATCTTTTTTATTCTTTACTTTTTCTCTTGTTGACACCCACACGCAGGGTAAGCCATTTGATCATCCTGAAGTGAACCCTTTACAATGAAACATACTCAAAGAGGCCTATCGGCACAGTAAGAAATCCAAAAGGATCAATAGTGAAAGTGAACGAAGAAGCAAGGGCAAAACACAAAAGGAGGAATCGACTTAAATAAAGATAACAGGGGTACTGCAAGAGAATAGAAAAAGGAGGAGAGCAAAAATGGGATAGTGCTATGGCTACAATTCAACTTGACCATGACCACCATGTTTGATCCAATCACCTCGGCTTTGACCACAAATTCACGTCTCGTTCCCATTTGTGCATTATACGTGTTTTGAGTATTTTGCGAGGCATATGGCGTGGTCAACGAATCGAACAAGGATGTTTCGAATGCATCAGCCACTACTTGTGCACCTTGTTGATTGGTCTTACAATGCTTGGCAAAGTGGCCGATTTCATCACAGCGAAAACAACGCTTGACCTTGCCCTTTCCCCTGGTCTTGTGATTACGATAGGAATCCTTGCCACCACGCTTGAACCTTTGTGCTGATTGTTGGGGATCGACATCCATTGGGTCGTTACTGGAACCTGTTAAAGCGGAAGGTTGGGTGGCTGCTGATGTTGTAGATGGGGGCAAAGGAACGATTGCTGACACGTGACCAACACCAAATCCAGGCATTTCTTCAATACGTATGCCATACTCAATTGCCGAAGAGAAATCATTGATCGGCTGCTTTCGAATCTCATGAACAATTGAGGATTGTGCTTTGGTCAACAAGAAATAAAGACGCATGGGTTCTGAGAGCTGTGGATCGATACGTCTCAACAAAGTCGCCAATCGAGGACCAAACGCTTTCATACTTTCATACTTTTGTTGTTGAATACGTTGTAGCTCTGACAACAAGGAGCTGAAATATTGAGTACTGGCACAAACGTGATCCAAAAAGGCTTGACGAACGGTTGATTAGCTTGCCTTTGCTTCAGGTGATAGGGAACGCTACCACAACATTGCATCCCCTCGAAGAGAAATCTTGAACTATTTAGCCCAACGTCGCAAAGGCTAATCAAAGTAGGCCGCAAACCCTTCGAACTGCTCCAACCATTCAATCGCATTCTGACAGCCTTTCCCACAAGGAATCTATAATCGGAGCCTTGGTCTACCCAACTCCATGTTGGCTTGATCCTGTTGAAAGGTAGCTGGACCACCTATTATACGAGGATCCATCACCATGACTGCTTAACCTTGATATCATGTTACCTCCTTGATCATGGAAAGTAGCATGTTGAGGATCAAGACCATGACTTCCAGTGGTGCGTGTCGAACCAAATGTTGTTTCCAAACCCAAGCTCTGTAGCATTCACAGCTACAAGATACGCTAGTTTCACTGAGATTACGACATTACGATTATAGACGAGCTCATGTCTTAGATACGATATAGCTTTAGCGTAGTTTAGATGTATGTGTATAAATACAAGTGTTGTCGACGACCCGACAACGATAGTCTTTTTCCACTAAATCTCTCTTGACTGTAAGTAAGACGATCTTCATGCATCCCATTTAGTAGCTTGCTATCCTTATCCATCTACGATTGATATGGGACCTGCAATGCTACAAGCTCCCACCATTGTTGAAAAATTTCCACGAGAGGCCAAAGGGGTGTAATCCATAATATGAGCATGCTCGCCTTCATGAGAACTATCGATATGATGCCATGCTTGTGAGGATGTCGGCATCATTGGGTGCACAGGTCCCTGATCACGTGCTCTATTGTGTGATCCACCATGTCCACCATGTTCTTGTGTAGCCGGCTGCCACACTTGCGAGTCTTCCATAACCGATACAGGAGCAACAATAGGAGACGTGTGCCCTGACGATAACAATACAAGTGAAAGGATGTCTCTGAATCACTCCAAGGGTTATTGATGACACCACGATGCTCATATAATCCAGCGCTCAGATGATCCATGTCAATAGTTTGGCTTCTCCACCAGTGTAAAAGGGTTGTGGAACAAGAGGTCTCCTTGTGTAATGTATTCTCTTCTAATGTTTATGTGTCACGTGTGACTATTACTCTCACACTGTGGTTGTATAGGAAAAGTTTTTGAAAGATGTAGTTCTTGGGGTTAGTATTGAGATATACAAAGCCTTTGCTGGTGAAGTAGTGTTGTTCAAGATAAATGCCAAGATCAAGGATATTGCCGACAGGTTTCAAAGCGTCAATGAGAGCTTGTGTTAGAAGTTGTATGGTTGTAAAGTGGGATGTGCGTGAGATTGACCTTGACTACCTCCCACTCTTCAGGAATAGGAAGGGAGCCAAACAACTATGTACCATCTTTCATGGTGATGGGTTCATGCTTGAGTTTGTCGATGGTTTCTTGATCATCGAATGCAACTTCTGCTTCGTCGCTTATTGCTGTACGAGATAAGTCGAAAAGAAGTGAATGGGGGTGTTCTGCACGTCGCCGTATTTGCCGACTGTTGGTCTTTTCCGGTTGATAAAGGGTTACCACTTCATTGTCGTGAAAAAGTGAGGTGTATGTGCGAGGTTTATCAGTGGGTCCTTTCGACCCTTGGATTTTTGATTTTTATCGCAAAGAGCCATCCGATGTGTTATAGGTGCGAGTCTCGCAGCAGAAAAAATGGTTCGTAGCACAATCTCGAGATCCACATTATGAAAGATAATGAGGGTCTTGTCTATGGATAATCACATGTACCCATCATCATCTAGCCTCAGATCGTGTATGATAATATCCTTAAATGCCACGTCTCTAATATCGCGTTTACCATATACGCAGCTCAAACCATTTACAGTAGCAAGCTTTTTCGATGTCATCCTTTCCTTCAGGTGAGGTGCAGCACCAAATCAGTATCAGCTACATGTGTACTCATAATGAATAACGAGGTGAATGTGTATGTCCCTATCACACTATTGGTCATTAGCATAGTAGCTTGCGAGAAAATGAAGCATGATGATGGTTTTATTCACTCTCTTCTTTTAATTGCGAATTGACGATAACGTTACTAATCCTTGATTCTAGGTATTCAATGGTGTCTTGTGTTTGTATGCCATCTCCGTTTAATGTCACGTTCACCAATTCCAGTGTATCGAGAGATGTATGATGATCAGCCAAATGCATTAAACCTGAGACGTTTAGCCAACGTGTATTGCTGAGGGTGAGATGCTTGATATCTGTCATATCACATAAAATTTCAAATGTCTGCTTGTATTCCATGATTGGGCATCCTTTTAGCGTCAACGACACGATAGGCGATGATTGACTTAGACATCGAGCAAGCGTGAATAAACCTTGAGGCATGAGACGTTTTGGATAGGCTTCTTTCAAGATCAAATGTCGCATCGTAGGGATCGTTATCAATGCTCCAACAAACTCGAGCGCTGTATCAACCTGATTCATTTGATACTCGAATGACTCTAGCTGCACGCCATAATGTCGCATTTGCAAAAACATAAAAGAAAGATCCGAGAGATCGCTTCTGTTTTCATGGATGGATAGATGACGTAAATGTGGGAGATGATTGAAAGGCGTAAGATCAGGCACCTCTTGACTGTTCATCCAACCTCGACTCTCATGACAGGTATCCATATCAATAGCAATGGTATGTAACTGCTTGCAACGAGAAAGGATTGGAAGAATGATCGTTTCCTCAGGGTCATCAATCTCCTCATTGTGTGACTTTTGGCTGTTGTAAATGAATTCTTGTAGCTGACACGTGTCTGGTGGTGTAAGGATGGGTGGCATTTTTCGCATCGTATCTTTGCTGCCATAGATTTTCCCAATACCACATGAAAGACGTTCAAGGCCTTCTCCCCACGATGTATTCAAAATGGCCATTAAATGATGCAAAGGTGTCTCGTGCAATACGTTGTCGATTTCGAATGTACGTAAATGGTTGCAAGGTGTCTCGTAATTTGTTGACCATAAAGGATCTTGACCAAGGGAAGGGAAAACATTGCATGTGATGATATCCAATTCTGGTCGAGCTTTCACAATTTGAATCAAATCAATGTTGGAGTGCCACTGGAGTCGTAAATGGCGCATGTTGGGACTTGCACGCATGATGTCTAATAGTTGCTCTGTGCTGATGCCGTGGTTGAGACGTAAGAATTGAAGGTTGAAGCATGATAATGATGATGCCTTGTTAGCTGTCTTGGGTGATACGTGAACTCGAGCCGAACTTGAAAAATGAGTCAACTGTGGGCAGCATGCCAAAATGCCAAGGATATCACATTGACTACGAGTCGATCCGATATGTAAACGTGTCATGTATTGGGCAAAGGTTGAAAAAGTAGTGGATGGCACCAAATCGCACTTGTTGTCAATGGCAACCACTGCAATGCGTAACAAGATCAATACATCTGATTTATAGAACAAGCTCATGGCTACTCACTGAATGTGGAGAGACATGTAAACCCCATATGGATTAGGCTGTCGATCACCTTGATGATGCTCTTCTCGGATGGCTGTACCAATACAATATGCCTTGCATAGGACCCAACAAGCGATAAGAGTGGATGCAATTGCTCGAGATCATTGCTGCTTAATCGTATTGACCGCCACTGATCAACGGACCAGTCAGCCATACGTTCACGCCATACTCGACAGACCAACATGCACCGAAGACAATCAAGCTTTGAGAATGAGGCGAAGATCCGCTGGTTGATCTCGGATGGCAAGGAAGCGATGCAAGTTGTTGTACGATGCTGTGATTGTGGCATGCTTGAATAAAAAGTTTGTAAAGAGGCGAAGCATCTAGTACAAGGAGTATCATTTGAGTGGTGGTATTTATATCAAAGGGGTACAGTGTTGTACTTACTGCGGCGGATTGTGCCGCAGTAGACCATCCTTGTGGATTGAGGTTGTAACAAGCAATCGTCTTCCTGTTGATATGATCTCTTTATTAACTGCATTGAAAGATAAGAGTACTGAAAGCGACATGTACATGTATCATGATGGCACCAATTCTATAATGCGTGGAGGAACTCCATGATGCTTGCATGAAAGTATGCTCGGCATTTCATCGTGTGCAACCAAGGTGATCTTTTGGGAAATTAAAAAAGTCGATACAACCGCCACCCAGCCTCTTCTTCACCCCTTCGCCAATGACCGAGCGATTCGCTTGCCTTCTCCAAAGCAACTTAATGTCAACAAGCCTTTCACCAATTCACCATAGTACACCTATAGTATTGTAAGTCACCCACCGACACGCGTCTTTTCTCTTGCCATCGCACACCATCGACACTCACTCACTCACTCACCAGGCTTGGTAACACGTCGCTGCAAGTGTATTCGACTATCACAACTCAATGGTGGCATCGTTGACTATGGCCTGTATGGGTACCCTTTGGTGGAGAAGAACTAACCTTGAGAGATACCTCTTCAGCCAAGCGACGAAGGAATTCTTTCGATTCATGGAAGCAACAACTTAAACTTTGACACGAATACCACCAAAAGCATGATGTTTGGTAAGATGGATGGATGGCACGAGGCAAGTTGTTCTGTGATATTGAGGTGAGGATCCCTTTTCAAGCAGATGATGGCTCTTTTTTCCATTCGTGTCATGCAAGGTATCAAGTTGTCGCGATGGCAACGAAGCTACATTGGATTGTCTGCGGCGACAATAACTGCTTATGGTTGAGAGGATGAATGGCTCATGGTGGAGGATTGGATCGACACCACGATATGCATGGACCATGGTAGATCGTACATTGCAGCTGAAGGAAGGTAGTATGATGATGGAACATAAATAGGGTAACTGTAGGAGTATTATTGGGAGGATCAAATAAAGGTATAGCATGTTGACCATTCAAAAGTCTTTACGTATTGGAATAAATAGATGTCTTGGTACGTGTGTAGCGCTCAATGCATGTTGTCAGATAATGTGAATGCTGGAATATGAGAACGTGATGGAAGGTTGATTGGGGGATCGAGCTCACTTTTGCATCATATGCATTGATTCCTTTTTATTGAAAATCAACCACCCCATCTCTTTGAATTGATGAAATTTGATTCATTCAGTGCATGTTATTATCGTCGTTGTATAAGATCCTTCAAAGTTGATGATAGAAGGTTGTTGTGAAACACTGAAATTGGGTGGGGGGAGTATTACTCGAAAGCGCGCGTTGGGCTTCTCCCACTATCTCTCTCTAAATTCAGCCACCGGGTTTTCATGGTAGCAACCACCCTTTCTTCCCTTTTCACATTGGCCCCAACATGACCTTACCAACCAGTCTCGAGGCTCAAGTTGAAAACTTTATTACACGATTGAAACGACGGTATAGCTTTCTATTCTCGTCACGCCGTGCACCAATCTAATCACTCTCTACCTAAAAGTCAAGTCATTGGCTCGTATGAAGTCGCCAAAGAAACAGCTGTCATCCTTCGACAAGTCGTGTCCATGAGCAGGTGGCGTGATGCCGATACGTTGGTGGATATCATTCGTGATTTAGGTGGACGATTGACTGCAGCACAACCTAAAGGTAGGGTGGCAACGCGCCCCCATTGAACAGCAGCAGCAGCAGCAGACAACTTACACCGATATAGAGCTGGCAGTAGGCAACATCGTACGTCGTGTACTCAAGGTGATTCGTGAAGTGGCGCGTGGAGAATTGGAGACGCATGATATGATGGAAGAAGATGAGCACGACGAGTCGGGTTCGGATGAGGATGTTGTGGATGATAATGATGAGCCCTCCAGTGTCAAGGATATATCAGCAACCAGCAGCCAAGTAGGATCCATTGGTGAACGACCTCAAATCATGATGCAATCATCCATGTTTCGACTCTTGGCAGCAGACGTCCCTGAGGATGCCAGTGAAACACCTGAAAAGAAAGCATACACATTAAAACCTCTCATCATCCAAGAAATCAACGAAGAAATCATTGCCGACCTGGAGACTGTATACAAAGGCATTGCTGATCAAGCTGTGGATTATATTCATGCAAAGTAAGTATGGGATGATTCGATTGGCATGGATGGGATGGTCCATTGACCCCTTTTTTATTTAGTGAAGTGATCATGACCATTGGCAAATCACGCACCGTCGAAGAATTCTTGATCCGTGCAGCACAAAAACGAAAATTCCAAGTCATTGTAGCCGAAACTGCACCTACGTAAGTAGATCTATTGGCTGGGTTGACGGTGAATTCTCATATGCCTGTATAGATATCAAGGCCATGATATGGCAGCAGCATTATCAAAAGCGGGCATTGATACCACCGTCATTGTCGATTCAGCCATCTTTGCAGCCATGCCACGTGTCAACAAAGTGGTGCTTGGATCCCATGCAGGTAAAACAAATTGGGGGATAGACAATGAGACATGATGAGTCAATGATACTTATGGGTGGGGTGGTTGCTTTTTTTTAGTATTGGCCAATGGTGCCCTTGTGGCGGTGACAGGATCACAATTATTAGCTGCTGCAGCCAAACATCATGCTACCCCCGTGTTGGTTTGCACTGCCTTGTACAAGTTATCACCTGTGTTTGCATACGACGCTGAAACCTTCAACATTACTGTGGCTCCCAACAGCGTTCTTGATTTCCAACAAGGTCCTATCATTGACAAGGTTTCTGTATCCAATCCATACTACGATTACGTTGCTCCTGAGCTGGTTAGCTTGTTTGTTCACAATCTGTAAGTTGGGAGGGAAGGGATGAGATGGATGGAGGTAGATACTGACATTGGCTTCTAGTGGTTCGGCACCACCCACCTATGTATATCGGTAAGTTTGGGCACGAGGGTAAAAAGAGAGGAAGGAAGGAACCCATGACTCATCATGACATTTTTTATTAGACTTATCAATGATAACTATGATCCTGAAGATACTACTCTGTAAAATAAAGAAACTTTTAGAATCCTCGTGTACATTGTTTAAGCTACCTGGATGATGATAAATTCCCGACTTTACTACCTTAGAAGTGCAGTGCTGAAAATAAAGGGATACGGTTTCCATGGCAACACAAAGCATGAGTGTGGGATAGATTTGACATGCTAAAAAGAGCTATGTATGTAGCACACGTACTTGTGCACAGACACTGTTTTGTAGATTGGGATTAAAAAGCGCTCATGCAGTGCGATGAATTACCCTTTAACCTACAACATACAAAACAACACGATACAGCTCTCATGATGGCCTGATTATATAGCATACATACTAAGCATGGGCTTATATTAGGCTAGGGTATAGCGGGGATACAATGCAGCGGATGAATTGATTCTTCCCGCTATGCATATAAAGAAACCAGGTGCAGCAACCGATTTTCATTACCGTTATCATTGTCATGTCTTGTACCACATCCTCCCCTCAATGGATTGATACCCATATTCATGTTATTACCAAGAGCTATCAAGCAGCAATCGATGCAGCCGGTGGTGACCCTTCTGGTTATCCAATGCCAACATGGACTGAAGCAGCATGCCTTGAATTCATGGAGAGTGTGAAAATACAGCGAGCCATCTTGTCAGTGACAGCACCAGGGCCATCCATTGCCGGGAATGGTGCCGAAGGACGCGAACTTGCACGCAAGATCAATAATGAAGTAGCCGATATTGTTCAACAATACCCTGAACGCATGTCTTACTTTGCATCGACACCTGATTGGACGGATGTACAAGGCACTTTGGATGAGCTCTATCATATCTTTAATCATGATACTCCTGCTTTAGGCGTTGTTGTCATGACAAGTTATGGAAAACGACTTTTGGGTGATCCCATGTTTGAGCCTATATGGAAAAAGTTGAATACCTACAAGGCGATTGTGTTTATCCATCCATCGGCTGTGGCGATTGAGCCTCAATTTGTATCAAACAATTTGCCACAACCGATCATTGATTATCCTCATGCCACGACACGTACAGCAGTGGATCTTTTATTCAGTGGACGATTCAATGCATGTCCTGATGTGGATGTGATCTTATCCCATGCTGGTGGTGAATTACCTTTTCTTGCAGAACGTGCATTGATGATTGTGCGCCAAGGTCCTTTCAAGGCTGGCTATGATGGTTGTGAACCTGTGGATTGTGAACAAGTCGTACGTAACATGCATCGGTTTTATATGGACACGGCGCTTTCTGGATCATCACCCCAACTCGAAGCATTGCTTGCTTTTGGATGCCAAGACCGTATCTTGTATGGCTCCGATTTCCCATACGCACCTGTACCCACATCCAAGCTGAATAACTCAATGCTACTTGAATTTGTCAATAAGCATGGCAAGCGTGCTGACCCCGTGAGTCCAGCTACATTAAGAAGAAATGCCATCCACCTCTTTAAAAAGCATGGCGTGGATTTGGAATAAAGGGTTTTTTTACTATTACTGTTTAGGGAAGATCACGTGTGGTTGCAGAAAATGAAAGAGTGCACTGACGTTATGATGCAGCACAGACAATAAATGAGCAGGGAATGATAATGATGATGGATGTATTAAAGCAAAGACGTTTATATACAAAACATGGATGGGATGGTTACTATCGTAATAGGATGATGTTGTATGTAATTCAAGAATAGTAACGTGTATACCGGGTGTTGTATTATGTGTGAGTAGTGGGCGCGCGCACATGGGATCCCTTTCCATTTTGCCGTGAATGTGTAACTTTAAAGAGAGTGGAGAGCCCAACTCAGCCGACCTCATTTTGAATTGAATACCACACACACACACGCTTTGGCCTCCTCCCTTTTGTCTTTTTTACTCCACAATGTATGCATCGTACCCCCCTCCTCCTCCTCCTGCCGATGGTGGCATGACGACTTACAATGCTGGTGGTGGTGGTGGTGCTCCTCCTCCTCCTCCTCCTGTTGCCGAATTCCAACAAATGAATCTTGGTGGTGGCCATGGTGGCAGTGGTGGTCGAGTAGTGTGTGGTCCTTTATTACGTTACCTAGAAACCGACTATCGAACCGGCATTTACCGCGGCTCATGTTTAATTGTCTCGGACCATCGTCAACCTCCTCCCCTTGAAATCACATTGCAACCTGTGCAAGGTAGTTCAGGCCCCACCCAAAAGTTGTCAGCACAAGGTGAACTCTTGGACGTCTTCCGGAACGAGTTTCATTTCTGGCGATATGAATTACGACTTCCTTTACAAGAAAACGAGCAGTTGGTCGTGTATACGAGCCCTTGCTTGAAAGAATCTTATTCGTTCCATATGCCCGGTTATTATCAAGCCATGCGATTCATGTTTCATTCGTGTAACGGCTTTTCTGATATTCCTCAAGAAACAAAGGATCGATTCGGTGAAAAGGATGCTCCTCTCTGGCAAGATGTCTTGGATCGTCACAATGTCATGCCTTTCCATGTACTACTCGGTGGTGGTGATCAGTTGTACCAGGATCGTCTTATCAAGGAAGATTTCATGAAGCCTTGGAATGATGAAAAGGATCCAAAGAAACGTGTTGCCATGGTGTTGCCAAAGGAAACCAAGGATGGCCTTGAACACTTTTATTTCTATAACTATATCAAGAACTTTGGGTAGGTTTCAACTTGGATCTATAATCACAAGTGATTGATTGATGTGCCTATTATCTAGATTTGAAGGTAACCCCTGGGTGGCCAAGGCATTTGCTACCATTCCTTCGGTAAACATGTGGGATGATCACGTAAGTAAAAGAAAAATTCACGCATTGGGTCAACTGGAAAACTCAAAGGCCTTTAGGATATCATTGATGGTTATGGCTCCTATCCTGCTGATATGCAACAAGCCGATTGTTTCCAGAGTAAGTTCAAAAGCTATGGGGATGATGGATTACCATGTTAACAATGATCGAATTACTAGCTCTCTTTGCCAATGCATCTCGTTTCTATTACCTCTTTCAACATCACACGACCATGGATCTTGCTCCACAGCATGGTATGATTCGTGGTAGTGTCAAGTCATGCAATCACATTGTCAATACCTTGGGCCCTGATATCGGCTTGTTGTCACTTGATGCACGTGGTGAACGTACAAAGTATGATGTGTGTCAACCCGTATCTTACGATCGTGTCTTTGATGCCTTGAAACGCTTGCCTGCTTCCGTCAAACATCTCATTGTCCTTACAGGTGTACCATTGATCTATCCCAGGTATGTGTATATGGGTGTATATTTTGATGTCATTGTATCTCACATATGGATTTTATTATAGATTGACTCTTTTTGAAAAGGCTATGGATGGTGCTGCTGGATTTAACCTTGCTACGCTTGCAGGCAAAACAGGTGCCTTGGGTGATTTGATCAGTGGTTCACTCAACAAATGGAATGGTGATCCCGAATTGCTCGATGATATGAATGACCGTAAGTGTGTAAGATACCATGTTGGATTGGATTTTGAATACTAATAATGATGGATCATTAGATTGGACAGCTGGTAATCACGAGGTGGAGCGTAAGCGCTTTATTGAACGTCTTCAGCAATATGCACGTGATCGATCCATTCGTGTGTCACTTATTGGTGGTGATGTAAGTTTTGAGTGTGGCTGGTGTGTGTGTATGTGTGCGTTTGTGGGGTGTGATGGTAACACAGGGAAAACATTAGGTCCACTGTTGTGGCGCTGGACGATTGTATTCCAAGGACATGCGTAACAAGGAAGAAGGTGATCCCCATCTTATGGTCCAAATCATTTCCAGTGCCATTGTCAATGTCCCACCTCCTCAAGCATTATTGGCTATTTTGAACCAGAATTCGACTTATATCACATTCAACCCCAACACGGAGGAGAAAATGTACAAGTTGTTCCTGAAATCACCCAACGGCAACAATCGTCAAAACACCAAATTGATGGGCATGCGTAATTACACAGCTGGTTATTTGGATGAGACCACGGGCAAACTCAACTTTTGGATCCAAGCTGAAAAAGAAGTGGGTAAAAAGGGTACCATGGGTTATTTGGTGGATGTCCCAAAGTTGGTGTTTAGCCAAGCTGGTGCACGATTGTATTCCCATAACAAACGCGACTTGATGCCTCCCTTGCGCCATGGTGGTTCAGCTGCTGCTCCTCCACCTCATCCTCCACGACCTGGTGCTAATTATCCTCCCCAACAAGGTCAACGTCCTGTTCCACCACCCCCTCTTCCTGCTCGTGATGCTGGTGGTATGCCCATGCCTGCTTCCAACATGTATTACTAGTCATCCATCCATCCATCCATTCATTCACTAAGAAACACAAAAAGAAAAAGAATCGTATATATGATCGGTCTTAAGAACATGTACATGGGGTGGAGAGAGAGATGCTTGAAGGGTCCCGGGGAGATGAAATTAGTAATAGGCTTGAGATGCTTTGGTAAAATGTGTGTTGCAGGGTACGCGTGACGGGGAAAGATGACAAAAGAGGTTTCAAAGGGAAAAAAGATAGGCGGGGATAGAAGAAGAGGTGTGCGTACACTTATACACGTATACACAACACGATGTAGGTAGGGTATTATGAGATCTCCATATCGGCAAAGGATAAATCATTTTCTTGTGTCTTGCGTTTCTCTCGAGATTGACGATCCAAACTGCGTAAACGGATGGCTGATAATACATAGCCCACCACTGAAATCCCTAATGCTGCCAACACGCCGCCCACTAAAAGATAGATGATTAGCCTATTGACCCCCCAAAGCATCTACTACTACTACTAGTATATAGCACTTACATAAACCACGCCAAATAACATTCATTTTAAGTGATTCAAGTTCTGTTGCCGTATCACCGAGCATGACGGTCAATCGGTTATTGATGCCTTGGATATGATGTTCTGCCACTTTTTGTTCTTCACGCACATCCGAACGATAATCATTCATGGAAAGTTCAATTTCATCTCGCATGGATCCCAAATCTTCACTGAGCCGTTGTTCTAGAGTATCCACTTCGCGTCCAAGAGCCGTGAGCTCCGATTGCAGCAGTACAGAGTCATTGCGCCGCAACAACTGTACCTCTCGGCGAAACTCAGCAACAGCTGCACTAATCAGATACGTCTCCTAAAAAAAGGGGAAAAAGAGGAGATGAATATACATGTTGATGTTGAAAACGATCATCCTTACATTTTCCAATTGTGAGCTTGCAAGCAAAGTTTCTTGTTGTCGAGCCACACTAGATAGATAGGATGTCACGGGTACACACATGTCAATATATATATATAATACATGCATCCATACACGTGCTCTGTTTGTTACCTTAAGCGAATGTAATGTTGAAGGGTTTCCATCAATGCTTTGGCTTGTCTTCGTGAAAATCCTCCCCATGCTTCAAGTTGTGTGACCTGCTCGTACGTATCAAAGTGATGAGATGTCGTTGTATTATCTATCATTTCCATATGGGGATCTTGGTGGTGATATGGCTGCTCCTCTTGTACAGCAGGTACGAGTTCGTTATTGATGGCTGTAGCAGCTGTTGTTGTATTGCGAGTAAAACTCATTGGCTGAGCAGGAGGCGATGAGGGAGCCGTCCGAGGTACCAGTGACCGATCGAAAAACATGTCGAGATGAATCTTGTTGATATCACCATTCTGAAGTGGAGAGGGTGTAGGCAATGCTGATGAAGGAGGGGGTGGCGATGGTGTCGGTTCGGCATGCAAAGACCGTCGGGTCGATACAAGGCGAAGGTGAGGACGCATCCATGCGGCTGTAGTACGCATTAACATGATGTTGGATATGAATAAAGAAAAAGAAGAGAGATGTACCTTGCAAAGGAGATCTGGCAATAATCATGATTTGCTTGTATAACAAAGAAAAAAGAGAGAGGGGTGGATGATGATTTATATGTAAAAAAGGAGTGAAAGAAACGTTATGTAGGTGTGTGGTGTGTGGTGTCTTGGAACAAAGGGCCAGCAGCAGGCAGGGACCCGGGAATCAAGCCGATATGTAATCTACCACGACAGCTCCTCTCCGATAACTCAAGAAAGGAAAAGCCGGGTTTGCTCAAGCTGCTGTGGTTGGATCATGTCGACCAATCATTGACATGCTTGATAATATCTCTACTACGCAAGCTCCCAAAAAAAGAACCGACCAATAGGATAAACTTGGATTATGAAAATCGTCATCGACATCCCACATGCCAAGCACATCACACACAGCTGTCATCATCATCATCACCAGTCGCATGTCCTCGCAAATGATAAAATCCCATTCTCGTTGATTTAAGAAATGAGGTGCATGTAAACGATGTTGTCGATGCCTACATAGAGAGGGGCCCTTGCAGTTGTTAAAGAGGTCTGTGCATGCATCATGACCTGTGGATCGATGTTGCTACTATGTCTTGTATACGGGAAGGGAATACTACACGTAATCCTGACCCACGGCTTCCCATCATCCATACATCCTTCATACCCAATTACATAAAAGAGGATTCCCTCGGCTATTTATTGTTCTTCTAGCTCCTTTAGCTGGTTATTGTAATTCTTGATCACTTCAATAGTAGAAGTATCCTTGTCGTAAACGCTGTACCATCCTCGGCGCTATGTATAGAATCGAATGTGAGTGAGATTTTGTAAAGTTTAATGGAATAAAGCACAAACCTCGTGGGGTGGATCACCGAGAATCACCATGCCGTATTGGTTGGGATAATCGGTGGAGCGGCCCAATCCACCATAAGCCCAAAACGCACTTCCACTAAACTTGTTTTCTTTGGCGAGTTCCAAGATTTGATCAAAGATGCCCTTGTAATAGGTATCCTTATGCGTAGTAGGGGTAGAAGGATCATACTTGTACTCGTCATCGTCAGGATGATTGAATGCATCACGTGCCTATGGTATGTATACGTTAAGAAAGATGGGTCATTTTTCTCTTTCTCTCTTTCTTACCATGCCAAATTCCTCCATAATGATCGGCTTTTTGAGTGCAGCTGCCCATTCAGCACGTGATGAAATGTAATCCTTGGCATACGCTTGAGCATCAGCAAGGGATGATTCATTGGCAGGATCGTAAATTTCCCAGCTAGTGTTGTGTTAACCGAGTTGTTGCCTATAAATCCATATCATAAACTTACTTTTCCACCCACAAGTGACATGTAGTGTAATCAATGTTCTTGTGATCATGTGCACGATTAAAGTCGTATTGATCCAACTTTGCTTCCAAGCCAGCAGACACCAATTGGTTGGGTGCATTCGATTTGATAAAGTTGCTCGTTTCCTCAAACCACCATTCAGGTGCCTCTTGAGGCTCGTTGGCCAGTTGCCATGCTATATTGTAGAAAACGTCATGAGTTTGTGTGTTTGTAACACGCCTTTTGAAACTTACACATGATCACAGGATCCTCGTTGTACTTTTTGCCATTGACGGTGTTGACACGCGTTTGGACAGCTTTGATGTGATCCTTGAATAAATCCTGAGCCTTGTCAGCAATACTGGAATCATTATAAAAGCGAGCTGCATAAACAGTGAATTCGTTCCAGTTCTTGTCGCCTTCGGGATAAGGGATGGTTTGATTATTGAGCACCCACGCCACGTATTGAGCAAAGCTATACATGCATCATGTTGCTTAATTTTTGTTTTCTATCTACCCATAGTGTACCCACTTACCCTCCAGACCACTGCCAAAAGTTGTTGAGCGTCACTAAGAATGGGATCGTAAAGTTAAACATCATGCAATGTACATACACGACTTCTTTTACTTACTGACGGCTGTCATATTATGCCGATCCATGGCATCCAAAAGATAATCCAGACCTTCGAAAACAGCTTCCTTGTATTCGCCAGGTTTGGTCATGAAGGAGGGTCGCATGCGATAAGGTTGGTCGTCAGGACCTTCAGCAGAGGCCATAACACGCAAATTGTTGATGCCCATATCAGCCATTTGCTTGATTTCAGTCTCCATACGATCCCGGTCACCACCATAACAATCGTTTGCTCCCAATGATATTCCTTGCCAGTAGTTAGCGCCTCTGATGTAATACGGCTTGCCATAACGTGTGAAACCAGAGCCATCAGATGCGACCTTGACATACGCATCATCATCCTTGGTTGTAGTAGTAGGACGTGCAACCACAGTGGTCAATGCAAGAGCAAGTGTAAAAACAAAGGCCTTTACCATGGTAAAAGGGTTGATGATGATGCTTCGATTAGCCTTTTGGACGTGGTATTTAAATACGTTATGTGTTTTGAGCTACTTTTTTGTGTGTGGGAGAATATGGGAAGAAGAAAAGAAAAAGAGGGGTGTTATGCTTTACATAATCTATCCCAGGTACAAACCACCTGTGTAACTGGTTACACGCCCCCTCATCTCCTTTGCATGCTGCAGGATTCTGTTGCACCATGTGATGCCGTCTTTTACAGCCATCTCATATCTCTTGACCCATTCTTCTCATTGAACAACGTCAAACCATGTCCATTACATAAATTGTGTTACAATGATATGGATGATAATCTATTATTTGGTGGTGGAATGCAAAAAATAACAACTAATTCATCAATTCGACTAGCTTGTTGACATCGGTCTCGTATGGAATCTCGCCTTCAGTTTCTGCCATGTGGGTCTTGAGTCGCTTCTCTCTCCATCTTCGAACAGGTTCATGCAATTGGAAGGGAAGAACAAACTTTGCCACATTGTCGAATTGCTCACCACACTTGAAGATTTCGTGAATCATATCCTCAACACAAATAATGCCATGTTCACCCAATCGTTCCTCCACCATCATATTGTCGGAAATGGCTGTGCGCTTGTTATCGATAAGTGTAAATCCACGCTTCAACAAGAGATCTCGTACGGTGTTGAGGTTGGGTTCGCCATAAGTAATGTAAGCGAGCACCGTCTTGAGTTGCCTCCGTGTGTTTTCATCCAATCGTACAAACACGCCTTCATTCATTGATGATAATCTCAAATAGCGAAGCGTCTTTTTGATCTTGGGATGGACATTGTGTGTGTTCTTGGTACGGATGACAAGCAATACTTGATCGGGTTTGGCGGTCTCCAATGCAGGATGCTTTGCTTTGCCGGTCTTTCGTTCCTTGTTCAATACTTTGAGACGTGCACCTTCCTTCTCTTGCTTTCGGTATTCTTTGACAAATTGGTCGGCTCGCTTAAACGTAGTTCGTAGACTGGCCTTTCTTTGCTATAATCAAAAGACATGTAAGATACAAGATACCATACACACACACACGCTATACACATACTTTTTTTCGCATCTCTGCACGCTGTTGTGCAGCCTCAACAGCAGCTCGCTCATTGATCTTTCGCTTCTTCAGTAACGTTTCGGGCACGTAATTCAGCTTTTTCTCGGATCTATTGTCAACGTGGTCAATGCATTAGTCCCTGTCGAGTGGTCGCCCTAGCTGCTCTTCCTTTTCACCAATCAAGACTTGTACTTACTCCATGGTGCTGATCAAGGGCAAACTGTAAAAAGAGTTGAGAAACGGCGGAGGATCCCAAAATTTCGCATAAGAGCTTGGACAGCGCTGATAAAAGCCACCGATTGGAGCTGCTGCTGCTGCTGGTTTGAATGGATCATCCCAATTGCTTTATTCCTTCCACCCCCACTTACAAGTCACCCTCAATGATGGATCACATCCATCAATCATGTCGTCATTGTAGGCGATAGCGTTGGTGCATTAGGATTTATTGATCATTTCTATATGTTTCAGATATATCAAAAGACTAGCGATTTTTATATGGGCTTGCTGCTGTTGCCATGGCAATTGGGGTTTCGATTTTGCTGCATAAGGAGCGTTGGTCCGCAAGCAGATCATCGTCCTGATTCCTCAAGCAATAATGAATGTATCTCTCATATCCAACTACAGCACTTCATCATACATCGCTTTCATCGAAGAAACCAATCATGCCAATACTTGTTATAGTATCATCCTTTCTCAATAAGATCATCTGATCCCTTCCACCCTTTCCTCGAGGTTATGGTATATTGGGCTTGCCCGTTTTCGCTTCCTTTTCCTTCCTCCGTTAAGCCTTCAACGTGCTAACTATTCACACTCCACACAACTTTCCACACATGCATCCATGTTGTCATCCCGTTTGTGGCATGAACTATGTAGTCCTCAGTTCATCACCATGCTGTAGTCTTTTGGTCGTTAATAAATGTAATGTAATATCACAATTCAGAAGTACATTGTTAATCGGCTATCACCAATATGTTGAGTGCCATGCACTTTTATTGTTGCATTCACTCGCCAACCCAAAGTCGGCAACTGTTTCATTGAACCAGTTGTTTGTAAAGGAAGCCTTTGCATCATCATAGTAGTACAGCTACTTTTATTCATCATTGTGAACGCGTCAATAATGACCAAAGTGAAGGATGTTGCCTGGGTAAATCTACTCCTTGGAACATGTTTTGTCGCAACAATAGCAGTTGTTATTTCTACATGTTCCATCCTCGCCATAGTTTCCCTCTTGGCACGCTTTGATGCATTTGTCCTGGACACAGTCTTGGCCTGAAACGCTGCTTGAGAATGAAAGGAACGCAAAGGCGACCAATAAAAGAGTAGCAGGCTTGAACAACATCTTGGATTTATGTAGTAGTAGGATCGATTGAAGATACAGCGATATGAAAAAAGATGAGCTTGAGATTGGTACATACGAGACAGCGTACATCCTTTAAATAGCGTGTGTACTTGTGGTCACCTGGGCCATGCATCATCAAACTTTACATGTTTGCTTATGCTACAGATGCTTACGCCAGATTACGCCGTATTACCGCATACCCACATACACAACACAAAAAATGTTTACTGCAGAAGGAAAAATGGTACCTCAAAGGCATCACTTGATATTATGGTGGTTATGGTAAAGTAGCAAGCAGCTGGGATATTGCTTTCCAATGCCCAGATATCAAACACCAATATGTAGTTGCATTCTCTTGTCATAAAGTTGGTACGCCGGCATCATGCTGCATTGTTTTGCATATCCAATACAAGAACCTCCTCCGGTCAATCCTAGACTAGGATCAGGCACCCATTATATATATACAGTTATTGTTGGAGGGCAAACTTGGGCCAAAGGAAAACGTATCTTTGATATCATTTTGCTGATCGTGAAATAGGTGTCTCTTTTATTAATGGCATGACAATGGGCGCCAGGACTTATTTTGAGGCTTGTGGCGTATATAGATATGCCCCTGGATATGGGATTCATTCTACGGCGTATATCGAATATAAATGCATTGCCCATTAACGTCATCCAATGCACAGCTTTTTGAATTTAAAAGCTTAAGAAGTTATCCTTGTGTTATGTGTTATGGTGGGCTTGAGTATTATTGGCTTCTTTATTGCACTTCTTTTGGGACTATTGGCAGATACCGCTACCTCTGCATGATGGGTAGCGTCAAGAGAAAAAAGAGCGCATAAATGAAAAGAAAGTATCATTAGCAGCCATTAGCAGGTATTCAAGTGCTACTACAATGTTTTGTAAACGTACCACATGTTGTCTACTACTTCTAGCAAGGCCCTTGACTGAAAGCAAGACGACCTCTTTAGAGTATTATGTAGCTCATTTGATTGGGTAACAAGACGCGGTAAATGCTTGATTGAATAGGGGGTTTATAGACCTTCTTCCTGATTTGGACCCTGTAGTGTGCGGGTACTTGATGTGGATTGCATTATCGAAAGATTTATGGTATGGGAAATTAAAAGAGAAAGAGAGGAAAGAGAAAGGGGCCTGATTGATTCATTGTGTGGTGAACAAAGGCTGTATTCGATAGTATCAAGCGCACCTCCCTTCTTTTTGACTATTCTTCGATCTTGTTGATACGCCATAAGTATGTTCCTTTATATCATTTAGACCCTGTAAGATGAGTATACGGCAAGGGGTTATCGCAGCGGATGGCTTCATTTACTAGTACACTTGTACTGATTTACAAGTGAGCACCATCAACAAGCGCCATTCGGCCATGGTTGTATCATTGTTCTTTTGTTCGCCGTAAAAGGCAAGTTTGATGGTTTGTGTAGCATCAATTGATTGGCTGATGGATGCATAGGTGATGTTTCTGATATCATGGGAAATTGGCTGTAACATGTACATCTTGGGACGTCAAGTAATATGATAGTACGACCAAAGATCATGGTGATTGCGTCTTTATTGTAGAAGAGGGTAGTGGAAGTATAAAGTAATGCGTGAAGAGAAGATTGAATGGGAGGGAGCTATTTCAAATTTCGCTTGGGACATTGGCGCGCGCTTTCCGCATATACAAGCGCGTCATTATTGCCCTTTTTATTTTTCACCTCTTCCTTTCTTTAATCCACCATGACACTTATCTCTTCCTTCCAGCGATTGGCCATTAGCCGCCCTGTTCAACAGTATCGTACTTATGTTGCCGCCAAGCAACTTCGACCTACAAAGTTCAAGAGCAGTAAGTTTTCTTGATGGCAGGATTGAGTACACCGTGAGACAGCTTTCTCACCTTGGATTAGTCCTGGAAAATGTCCCTTCCAAGCCGCGTTCAGGTTGGCAAATCTTCTGTCGTGAGAATCTCAAGAACCACAAGGGACCTGATGGCAAGACCAACATTGTCGAAGCCAACCGTGCCTTGTCTGCACAATGGCATTCACTCCCAGAGGCTGACAAAGAGGTTTGTTTGTTAGGATGGATATAAGGGCGAGAAGGGTATTCTATGTGTACATGGTATATTGACCCTGTGTATAGCGCTACAATGAGATTTTCAAAAAGGAAGCAGCTGCTCACCAGGAAGCCTACGATCGTGCTTTGCAAAACGCAACCCCTCAGGAACTTTATGATGAAAACCAGTTGAGAAAAAAGTACAAGCTCAAGGAACTCAAGGATCCAAAGGCACCAAAACGTCCTGCATTGGGTGGATACATGTACTACCTTGTGGAACTACGTCAAAATGATAGCTCGTTTGGCACCATGCCACTCATGGAACAATCCAAGGAGGCTTCCAGGAGATACAAGGCCTTGTCCGATCAGGAAAAGAAGGTAAATGGGAACGCAATGGGAAACGCGAATAGAACAAGAAGAAGGCTAATATCATCTTTATCAGCCATACATTGAGCAAGCCGATAAAGCCAAACAAAAGTATCTTCAAGAAAAGGAAAATTACAATGCCCAGATCAAGAAGAAATAGGCACATTATTAGGGGTAGTTATCATGGTCGAATTGCATATATAAAACGAGATTTGCTATTATGATGATGATGATTGGGGTGTTGGAGAAGAAGTCTTCATGGACCACGTGATCCGGATCATAAAGTGATCTTTGTGAAATGATCACCATGCTATACAAAGTATGCCCTGCCACATAATAAGCTGCTGCATGAAGGTTGTACATACATTGGTCTTCTCTATATACGATTGCATATCCTATCCATGATGGTTACATGAGGCGTTATCGGAAAGCTAGGTGCCGTCGGAAGATAGGTACTAAAGTGATCCGGCTTGGCAATGCACAAATTGGGGATGCCGTGTATCTCTGAAAGGAACACCTATAAACATCAACATCCAAATCCTGATCCATGCAACAATAATCAATCATACCAAGACTCTTTGTGAAGCCGTTCCATTAATAATCTATCAGCTCATCACCATTCCCATTACTCTTTCAGCCTTTTTGTGGTGACGGAAATACCCACGCCCACCATGCTCATATAAACTAGAGATGTTGTCGCCTATTATCATACATACTCCCATACACTTCTTCTTTTTCTTCCATCATGCCTCTCTTTTGATTGCTGACACGTTCAAAGCTCAAGTGGATGTGAGTATCATGATGGTCCTATTTTTTGAGCGATCTATAGACTCATTTGTGATGATCTTTAACCTTTCGTTGTTATCCTATTTTCATTATCATTGCTGTCATTGAAACATTCAGATGCTTTAGTAAGGTAAAAGCCTGATCATCTTGCTTGATGATACACATACTCATATTCCCTTTGATGTACATAGCTACCTCCTGAGATACATATGCAAGGCTGGATTAGGTGGCGCACCACAGCCCAGATGGAAGTGGTATAACGGCTTCCTTGTACAAGGTAGCCGAGGAGGCTATCTAAAAGGACTAAAAGCTTGGTAAAGGGCGACACCATATACACGAAGGCGTTGTAAAAATATCAAGATGAACAGTCATCGTCATCAACTATGCCACCTCCCTTAGACCTACCAAAGAGTGTTGCATCCGCCAAAAAACCCTCCAATACCAGCATCTTGACACTAGAGCTATCAAGAGGCAAGAATGACATGGAGTACTGTATGCAAGAAACTTCAAAGAGGAACACCTCAAAAAAACAAGCGAATGAATTGGAAGCTTTGCTTCAAACGGGGGCCGAGCCTATCACGCTGAACAAATATCAACAGCAAAACATCATCGGGGCCAGTTCTGGTCACTGACGATGACCACACTTTGTATGTGGACAAAGTTAAGGGTAAGCCATTTGTCGTAGCTCTGTGATTTAGTGACTGACATGGATGGTGTAATTAGTCAAACTTCTCTAAACTTCTCTTCCCCAAAATGGCCATCATTCCTCGATCCATCATGGGATGTCAAATAAAAGCATTACTTGGTCTTTTTCATGATAGCTGAAGTTCTTTGCATCAGTGTCGGAGGTACAGGGTTTGCAAAGTAAGCTCTCATTTTGGCACTATGTAGCATCGCTTTCGTTATCTTCAACAAAAGCATGTAAAAACACGTTCAATGACACCAACCATCAACCATCAAGCACCTGGATTTTGCCGTGATCACCCCACTATGTATTTAAAGTAACACGTGTTTATCTATTACTATACAATTGGTAATGGACTACGATGGCATGAATGTTGGCTTGGGTCCTTTCGAGAGGTAGCTAGTATGATAATGATGAATGAGTGTTTGTGTGTGGCGGAAAACATGTGTTACAAATCGACAACCTTGTCGCTCCCGCTAATAAACGAGGTATACAGACGATATGGATGGGATGATTATATGTGTGGGCATGTTGCATGATGGTATTCTTATTTGACACAAACGTGCGATGCATTGGGCCGATCAAAGTGTATTGGCAAAGCTACTATAATGCATAGGACAGAATCTGAAAGTTGTATTCCAACTCCTTCCTTCCTTTTATCCACACACACACACACCCACATTCACGAACGCGTTGTCAAGGGCAATACCCAACACCACCACCACGCTTCTCTTTCACCGACACGAACGACACACACTATGCCATACAGCAAGAGCCCTAATACTGGTGGCAATAGTACTGTCATCAACATGGGCCAGTCGCCTTCAAGTGATAACGACATGAGTCGACCTTCCATGCCACGTTCTCCCCACACGATTGCAACCACTTCCAATGTGTCAACGACTGCCTCGCATATGGTCAAAGAATACAGGAATATCATTCGCCACATTTTGACAAAGATCCATAAACGACGACGACCTCCTACCGCATTGGCACAGTTGGCGGAACTCTATCGGTTATCAGCGCTCTCATCGGACGATCCTGTGCAGGAATTCGACCATGACGATACAGTGGACTTGCTTATTCAACTAAGGACGAGCTTGACGCTATGTGAAAAGCACGATCTTGGCCCAGACATTCTATATTACCAGTATGTATGGGGAACATTAGTTAGGGGATACAAGCTAATCGATTGATTGCATGTAGTGAACGAGGCAGTGGTGGTAGTAGTAGTGGTAATGGATCGACTGAAAGGGGCCCAATGTCGCATAGCAACAGCTACTCGCCGTTATTGTCATCATCACCGCGATCGCCAAGTGGCGTTACGATACCACCACAGCCATCACCAGCAACTGAGACCGACCAAAGTTTGATGGGACCTTCTTCCAGAGCATCTCGCAATCGAACGCTATTTGACAATATACTGGCATTGTTGGATGATTTGGTGCTGAATGATGCTCGATACAAGAACAGCAATCCACGCCCTTCGCGCCCACCCTGCATTCTACAACATGTTCTCATTGATATCGCAACTTTACTCGTGGCACTCACTGGCAATGATGTTGTGTCCATGACTGCAATTGGACAAACAATGCTTCCTGCTTTTGACAGTATCAATGATGGTCCCTTACTTGGAAAGCTACTTGGACTCTATGTGGATGTACTTTTGCCTCGATTACAAGCAACAACACAGCAGGACCAACAACAGGAGCCAGAGAGTAGTAATAGCAGCAGTGGCAGCAAAAGGATGAGTAAGTCATGTCAACCAGGTGTTTGGATTTAAGTTGACATTGTTATTATTAGATGGAGAAAGGGCAGTACCAGCACCAGCAGCACCAACCATCAATATCCAAAGTGCCGATGACAATATATCATCAACATCAGCACCACCACCTGTTCCTCCAACCTTCGCTCGTGATCCATCATCATCAACTTCCGCTGCTGGTGGCCATCTTACTATCAACACCAATCTATCTCCTAAGCAATCTTCACCATCACCTGCTACCACTTCCCATTCCATCCCTCATTTGACGGCACGTGACGACCAACATCGCATCAATGCTCTTTTTGCACCCTTGCTTTATTTCATGATTCAATATCTTGATCCATACCTGGGGGCTTGTTCAACCTCAACTACTTCCGAAGAGTCGCCCTTACTTGCCTTTACTATCTCTCGGCAAAACTACTCCATCTACAATTTCCATCGAGCTATCCAGTACATGATGAGACAAAAGCCGGATATTTATCTCGACATGTTGGATGTCATGGGCCATGCAGGTGCACCTGAAGTTCGTTTTCGAGCATGTCAGCTACTATTTCATTACTACAGTATAAGTACGGGTCACGTGGTGGTAGCTGAAGGATTGCCACCTCTTGGGCAAAAGGAAGAATTGAATGCATTGGAAAAGATCATGGCACAACAAGATTATGAGCAGGCACGTCATCAACATCATCAGCAACATACCGATCCTACCTTCTTCGAAACCATGATGGGTGGAACAAGTACAGCTGGATCCAATCCAGCATTGAATGTAGCAGGGATCAATCGAAGGTATCGAGCAAGTATGGGATTGCCACCATTGGCATCATCACAACAAGGTCCCTTGACATCAAGCATGTATCGTTATCGGGAACAACAACATCAGCAACAGCAACAGCAGCAGCAGCAACAACAACAACAGCAATTATATGATGATGGGGATATGGATATCGAAGGAGATCAGGATGAGGACGCTTCTCATGTATGGCATCCGCATATGTTTGCAGAGCATGATAATGATGAGCAAGTGGTGGCTCCTACCGTCCAGCGATTATCCACTACAGCAGCCTACACAGCAGCTATGCACAATGACATGAGTGGCGGAGCTTATTGCAAGGAATGTTACAAACCCATTCGAGGCTTTGGTCTACGATGCTATCAGTGCAAATGCAGTTTACATTATGGATGCTTGGCTACAGCAGACAATGATCTTGGTATTATGCTTTATGTCAAGGAAGGTGGCATTCAAAAGGTGGTCAGCCCACAGTTCTGTCATATCGTCACCCTTCCAAGGTTAAGAGACGTATATGGTGATCGACGCCAAGCTGCCATTCAATTGCCTTCAGTAACACCTTCAACCGTTGATTTATTGGGTCACCATTTTCATTTGGTCAACTTGTATACATTGATCCTCTGTGCTTCGTGTCGTCAACCTTTGTGGGGCATCTCTTATCAAGGCTATCGCTGTACTATTTGCAATCGATTTGTTCATCCTCATTGTCTTGCTGAGGCGGCACATGAACACGGCTTCAAGCATGATCTTGCACGTATTCAGACTTGTCAACCCTATCAGCCTCTCCTTGAAAGTGATACCATCATTTCACATAAGGATATTGTCGAGTCGTTGCATGCTCATTATGGTGATCTTATTCCTAAGAGCGAGAGAGATTTGGATCATTGCACCTTTGAGGAAGTTGGATTGATGCTCAATGTGCTCTTGCTTCAAGACAATATCCTACAATGCGGCATTGCAGCTGGAAGTCTATTGGTCACACATCCACAATCCGAAGAGGAGCAAGATGATTTGGAAGCAAGTTCGGATCCATTACATGACCCTCGTCGTCAATCTTCCTCAGCAACATCGCAAACATCATCATCACCACCTTCAACACTTAATATCATGGAAGAGCGGGTTGCACGTGCATCCTCAGCTTTACGTGATCCACTTGCCATATGTCTTGCAAGGATTGCTGCTGGCACTTGTCCAACATCTCGTTTCTTTGCTAGCTTTTATAGCAATCGATCTCACAGTCTCGAAGAATGCCTGCTCAGCAAAGAAGAATACCTGGCCCATATTGCAGCTATGATGAAGAACAATATCAACAGCAGCCATGAACCTACTGGATCCAGTGGCGTTGGTGAAGGCCTTTTACGCGTGGAAACATGGAATCATTCCAACTACGAAGATGAACCAGGAGACACTGAAATGGCATGTCATCAAGTTATGGAACGAGAAACAATGGTACAATGGATCATGAGCAATTTACGGTTCAAGAGTCGAACGTCAGCGCACATCCTTTTACAACATATGCGTAATTTGGGTCTCTTTGAATTGTTGGATGGCTCACATGTCCTCTTTTCCGAATCATCCATGTCATCACCCGAACCACCTGCATGGGCCGCCAATCTACCCACACAATGTATATTCCCTGTGCCATACGCCATTGATACCAACAGCAATACCAAGCTTGATTCCCTCGTGGATGCCATTGATGCATGTTTAGCCGATATTGATATCACCATCAACGAGTGTGGCATGTTGTTATTGGTACGTCGATGTTGGCCAGATCCTATCATTTCTCGATACACATGTGAACGACTCGTAGAAAGTATCCTTGCATGGATATTTTCTGAGGATGATAAATTATCCACATTGCATGCCGAGTATCTTGGTGACAAGAATCAACGTCCTCAACAACCACAACAATCACAGCAACCGTTGCCAGGCGTGAGGCAAAATCGGTGGGCACAAGCTGCACAAGCTGCTGTTGTATCACGTGTTCGTGGAGCTGCAGGTGCTACGGGTCTTAGTGCTGGTGCTGGTGCTGGCGCTAGACAAAGTGTTACGTTTGCCATGGGGATGAGTAGTGGTGCTGGCAGCGTTTATGTGACTACAAGGAATGCTTTACGAGAGAGATACCTCACACGGTGGATGTCCATGATCCATGAAATCGATCCCAGAGCCTATGCAACCATGTTGTTTGATATCATTGAAAGAATTGTTGATGGCAAACTTGATGAATCGGCTATCCAAGAATATCAGGTATGCGAATGCTTCAAAGGGATGAGCTTATCCTCTAAACAATACAAATAGATGGTTACGGCACAACGATTTGATGAAGCAGCTGGATACATTCTCAAGCTAAAGTCATGTGGATTGGCCTTTACTGCATTTGACCCTGTATTGCAACAAATCCTTGACAAGGCATTCGAGGAGTTTGATTCCCAAGGATTGCTTGCTGAAAAGGAGCCTGTGGATATTCGTAATCTCGCCAAATTATGTTCATCCAAGATATCGGTTACTCGAGGACCTTATACAATAGGTGGTGGTGGTAGTGGTGGTGGTTTGGCGACAGGTACAACCACACCAACAGGAGCAGCGGGTCCATCCACACAATCATCTACATCATCTTCACCAGCAACAGCGACAGCAGCAGCGGCAGCCTCGCCATCAAGAACGGATCCTAGCCATGCATTCGATGTGATTACTTCTCTATTTGCAGCGGGTAGCCATCAAAGTGTGGAACGAGGATTACGATGGTTGGAAGTGATTATGCATGCTGGGTAAGTAGAGGAAGGAAAAGTGTTCTCAAAAAGTACTAATGAGATTATATAGTACGGGCGTACCATCCACATCCATCACCAAGATTGCACGTCATTTAGTGGAAGCTCAGGCCACCATCCAGATGAATGCCCAATTCGTCAAACTACTTTGGTTCCAAGCCGTCAATATCCTCAACGTCCATCTATCACGTGCTGTCATTATCGATGTGGTTGGGTACTTGAACGAAATCATGTTGGATGATCTTAAGCGCATGAATGAAGATCACCATCTTTCCATCGATGACCTTGAGCAGTAAGTTACTAATGGGAAAATGGTATACAATTGAGACTTATCGATGTGATAGTGCGCAAAAGTTCATAAAGTACTCGGTGGCTCTCGGATGTTTTGCATACAATTGTCCGCTCAGCAACATTACAGAGCTCGACATCGTACCTTATTTTGGTGATCACATTGCGCAGCTATCGTATGTATATTCATGGAAAGGTATCAAAAGAGGTGGGATCACTCATATGTTTTGATAGACACAACAAGCGGATGTCGATGCATACGGAGAACACAGTGCCCATGTATGTCGATGAGACGACCCCCGTGATTCATTGCATGCTGGCCTATCTCGAGCTGGATCAGCTGAATGTGCGCTTTGATGTCCTCAAGATGTTTTATGCGCTCGTGCATTGGGGCTTTGGTATCAGCAACAAGTCCGATTTGATTGCCAAATGTGCACCCATCCTTACTACGGCGTAGGTGTTTTGATGAATGGCATGTGAATGTATGCTTACATCCTCTTTTATTAGTATATGGGAAACGCTGCCTCCTTGTTACGACCACATGAGCGACATTAATTTGAATTTGCTTATGAAAGTGATGAGCTCAGACCCAGTGCATTTTCATGCATGCGTGTTGGAGGTGTTTGAACATTCAAGCTGGGAAGTGAGGTAAGGTAATCTATGATAATCCAAGGGATCATTTTATTGACATGATCGGTGGTGGTAGATTTGAAGGACTTGACAACTTGTATGGATTATTCACCAAGATGGATGCCGCATTCCAAACCAAATGGCTACCTATGCTATCCTATTTGGGACCTGTATTCAGTTACTTTGTTGGAAGTCTATGGGATAAGGAGGTATATAAGTGTATACGCCATCTCCGGTTTATCACTTTTATCATTAACAAGGCTTTTATTTGCAGGAATATGTGCGATCCAAAGCATTCAGTTTGATCCGTACCTTTGGTACATTGCATTTACGTTCGGCCTTTCGATGTTGGGAAGCGTATTTCTTGACAGCCAACGACCGACAAAAGACATCCGTTATCAAATTGATGGTCCAGCTCAGTGCATTGTTTCCGGATTGGCAAGTCATTCAATGGGAGTCACTACTTGAAGCCTTGGAAGCCAAACAAGAACGCTCTGGTGAGGAGGAAGAGAATGGTGATAGAAGATCATTTGCCGAATCGGTTGATATTCTTGAACGTTACACGCGCTATCCACCCACCAAGCATATGAAACCAAAAGAGGATGAGGAAGATATGCAAGAAGAGGAGCAGCAACAGCCTAAAGGGGAGAACCAAGAGACTACGCAAGAACAAGAAGGGATGGAGAATAATGTGTTGGTCGATAGCGAGAACTGCAAGATCTTGATGGTCACACTTGCATTGCAATTGCTCAGCTGTCATCTGCCAGTGGATACGATTCAGGTGTCAAGACTAAAGTATATCCTCGTCAAATTTATGGGATTCCAAGATTGCCATCGATATGCAACGCCTGCACCAACAACCAATGGAAACGGAGGAGGCGAATGGGTGGTATCATTTGGCAACCTTGTATACAACTACTCGGATCCATTACATCATTCAGCCATGGTGGCAGCATCACGTGGATTGAAAAAGGTGGTCGATAGCTTTGCTCCGTTGCCGGCAGAAACAGTAGCGTCCATGGCACCCGATGTGTTGGAACGTAATCGTGTCGAGTTGGCAGAGAATAGCAGTCCAGGCGTGCACTTTATTGATGTGGTGCTCAAAATGTTCAATTCGGGAATCAATCTCACAAAGTTGAGTCACATGATGCTAAAGACATGGCTCGAGACTGTGCTTATTGTCCTTTACAAGGTAAATGCTCTCTTTTAGATGATACTATTCAAAAGCTAACTTGTTGTCATACATAGCACAATATCTTGGATCGTGAATACGAGCACAGCATCGTCAACTGTATGAAGCAAATCATTGAGCTATTGACCAAGGAAATCAGTGAGGAGAATAAGCTCTTGATTCTTGAAATTCTAAAGTGCTTGCTACGACGCTCCGATCATCTCACAGCAATGGTGCTATCCAAACAAATCATGGCATTGGGCAAGTTGATGACCAAGTTGGGTATCAAGCGCAGCGAGCCTGTATTCCTCAAAGCCAAAGAGTTTCTCAAATCTGCCTTTCTTCGCTTTGCTGTGGCCGGTCTCTTTGTACTCATGTTCAAGGTATGGAATGGATAAAAGGAGGGGGAATTATCAAAAAGGGAACACGCATGATTCACACACCTTTGTTTTATAGAATCAAACAGTGTCAGATGCCAATAACAAGGAGGTGGATCTATTCTTTGTGCTGGGTGCTGTGATTGATCCTGAGGATGTGGTCCCTGATGAAGATACCCGAGAGATTATCTACCTACGCGATCAGCCTGTACGTGATGTGTTGGACAAGCTCATGAAACAGCAAATGGAACGCAGCGCCTTTTCAACCGTATTACACAACATGTCTCGTTATGTTCAAGTCGTGCATTGGCGTCCATATCCAGAAGCCATTTTGAATGACTATGCCTTGTTTCTCAATACGCTCGTGAAGCATACCAGCAATTGGCGTCGTACCGAATGGGATATCAATCCGCTATTTACCATGTCGGCCATTCTACTAAAAGAGCACCCATATTATTTTGCGGTAAGGATTCCACGTTAAAAAAAAAGACACCCTTCTCATTGATGATAATAGATCTTGCTCCCACAAATCCAAATATTGTTTCGACAAGGCATCCAAAATTGCACCATCGACCCGGAAGATGTTGTCAAATTGCTGGCATCTTTTTCGGTGATCCCCCATATCCCAGGTGGTCCTACAGAGAATGCATTCGTGTTGATCATCCTAGAAGAGGTCAAGGCAGGCCTTCAGCAGCGACAAAAGCTACACAAGGATACCTTGCTTACATTGTTGGAGGTAAAAGTATACAATGAATCTTGATGGAGGATCCTGTATTCACTTTTTCAATCCTAGTTGATTTATTGGGATAGCAGACCTGAATACCTTGAATGGTTCAAATCGATCGAGAATTCGCTCCCTGGCGAGCCATTGTATCGTCAACGTCAACGTACGCCCTATTTTGACCAACAGCAGCTTGAATCCTTGCTTTTGGAGCCACTCATGTCCTTCCTCAAACTACCACCCGTATCCCAGCAGCTGACCAAAAAGGATTTCAAGACTTATACGGTGGTATCCAAGCTACTCATTTCACTATGCATCCAAGATCCAAAATGTTTGCCACGTATACTTGGTCAACAAAAGGTAAAAAGATTCTTTATTGTGCTGGATGGGGATATTCATTCATCTTGTGTAGTTGGATGAAACACGCCACTGCCTTCGATTCCTCGATTGGTTCCTTCTCGCCATTTTGGAAGAGCTTCTTGGTACTCGTAACAGCAATACGGATATGCTATCCTTGGATGTGGGTCAATTTGTTCAACCCTTGATCGTCTTTGAAGATTCAATTGTGGAGCTATTGGTGCAGACTTTCAACTCGATACCCATTGACCTTGATACCACCGACATGAGCTTTTCGTATTGTCCTTCGGGAGAGACGTTGCTACTGTGCTTTTTGCTTCTCAAGATATGGGTCTTATTGACACTGCTTCAACGACAACGGATTATGGTACATCAGCAATCCCAAGCCATGGATAAACCAGCATTTTGGATGTCTGTATGGCCTGCTTTGCGACGATTTCTTGGTCGGATCGATTCCAGTACATTGTCAAAGGTAAAGGATATAGCATGGTTGGTTCCTTGGTTCTCAATTCAAGCTGACTCATACACGTATGATAGGCGGGTAGTGGTGGATCTTCGGTATGGAACATGTTCCTATCGCTTGTGCAATATCTATTTGTATGCCGCAGCCCCATTGTGATGATCAATGCCTATGAATGGAGTAGTTTGTTGGATGTTTTGTTGGAACAGGTACGAAATACTCTTTTTCACCAACAATGGTACAAATGCTAACATCATCTATTTTAGATACCCGAAGCAGCAGAGAATGATGATAAGGATGACGATGACCAAGTGGCCAAGAATTTAAGAAAGGAAACAATTCGAGTGCGTAGCATGTTCACAGCTCCTCCGGTTGAAGTACCAGTATCCACCTTGATTGATCAGTTGTACCTTGAGCTGAGGGATGTGATGCGACTCCAGGCTGAAACAGCTCTCTTTCAATCATCATCCACGTCGTATTCGAACGGCTTTGGAGCTGGTAGCAGTAGCAGCAATGGTGGCGGTGGCGGAGGAGGAGGAGGAAGAAATGGAGGCAATGGAGGACTACAACACTCATCCACGGCAACTACAATTACCGCCTTATAGAAAAATTACATATATACCCTTCCTCGTGCTTATTAAAACGTCTATGTGTACATTTGGCATGTCTGAGAATGGCTTTGCTGATAATGATATAGTGCTCTTTAAACATTCTTCCTGTGTAGCTATTGAATTGCATTAGGACAATGGGTTCTTGTCAATCGAACCCAGCCATAGTATCGCTCGCTGCCGTGTGAATCTTTTTACAATGTAGAGTCAATACCATCCAAACGCCATAATCTACTCGTTTGTAGAAAAGCCACTGTATTTTTGCATCGATAGCATTCCTGTAGTTTACCCAAGGGCATTTTTAAGCATTTCGTACATAGTTCCAGAAAGCGTAATGATTTGGGTTTTTTTGCAAATGATAACGACTTGGATTGTCTTCTGGTGCATTTACATGACTGATTAGGATTATCGCATACAAATGGTTTCGACTTGATTGCCTTCATGTGTGCAAGGATGTTGTTAATACTTGAGTGTAGGTGTTTCCATGGACTTTACGCACCTTTCTGTTTCGGCTCCCTATAAATCCAAGTGCACCCTTTACGCAAACATTCGTTTTCATTCTTTTGAAGCTCTTTGCATTCTTCAGCAGTCTCACGACGAATGCATGATCGCTTGATAGTATTCACTGGCATAGCATGATAAGCGTAAGTCGAACGTCATGCAGCGCTAGTTGATGTCGAAACTGACATACCAAACTTGGGATCTTTCAATGGAAAGGACTCATAAGTACAAAAAGATGGATCAGCAGGAGGACAACTATCAAGTCTAATCGGCTCCGAACACATGCCAGCATTAGCATTGTGATCAATGTGCTCCATACCAGGTTGGACACCATTCACGGAATAGGACGCGCCAAGGAACGCCTGGGATATAGCAACAGCAAGGATCTTCATCGTGGTACTGTATACAATCAGAAAAAGTAGGCGGCAGCAGTTAGGAAAAACTGATCATTTTATAGCTTTAGGGCATCAATCATACGTACATCCTGAATGTGCCATGAGAAAAAATCAGCTTATTCTTACAGCTAAAGCATGCGGCATTTTCCCCCTGAAAACTCCTTAATGTTTATGAATTCTGCATGTGGGATCCAGAATACTCATCCTTACTACATGGATTGCTGCATCGAATGCTTGTTCAACTACTTTTACTGCCTAGAGCAATCTTTGGCGTATCTTGTGCCTGCGAGAAGATGGGGTGGGGTATCTCAATGTGGGCTTTATAATGAACAACCATGAAGAAAACGGTTCATTGCAGGCTCCTTGTATATAGCAGCATCAACATTAGATAACATTTTCTTGGGTTACTTCAGATACTCAACACTTGATCCACCATTAGGCCCTCGAGAGACAAACCTGGTTTATCTTTGCCACGTTGTTTGATACATCCCATATCTCGTGACATCCAAAGGGACAGGCAGGAATTCATCCCATTCTTATAGATCATTCTTCCATTTGGTCTTGGAGAACTCTCGCGATAAAGTTTATTACAATATTCGCTTTTACGTCGTAGCTACCTTATTATAACATGCACATAGTTCCTTCTTGCTTGTAGATCACAGCTATGATGCAATAAACGTATGTCGGTCTTGTAAAATCATACGCATATCCTTCGATCCATGTTATTCTCCAGCAGCAGCATGCAATGAATACACCAAGATAGCAGTGCTGATCACGTTATGCGCCTTCAAACCAATCCATCATTAGGTTGTTCTATGTATGAGCCACGTAAATGCATATATACCTGGTCATTCACTTGATCTTCCTCAGGATCGCAATCATGCCCTTGTCTTCTTCAATTTGCTCTTGCTGCCATTCTTTGATCATCATTAATTTCCTCAACTTCCTGAACCACTCACCATGTAATAATCTTGGACCTCGTATACGTTCACATGTAGGTGCCCAGTGAATGACATAACCGATCTTTCACCTCAACATAGTCGTTGCCATATTGGATATATCCAAGGTGAAGTTTGTTATCAATATCCGCATTCCTCAACATGTTGATGACGGTGGCCCATGACAGCACTTGAGAATGGATCAAGAGAGTTGTTTCAGCATGGCAACAGCAGGGATTCCCAGAGGATGCTGAAATGGTCGATACGACAAGTACGAACACAGTTGATCCACAACCCCATCATGCAAGGCTATTCCGATCCATGACAAGAAAGGACGGTAGTTGTTCTCATTCATTCTCTCAAAAGAAAGGATAATCCTCCATCTCTCCAATCCTCGAAGGGTAAACACCAGCCTATCACGAAGAGCATTGCTGTCAAATAGCAAAAGGTACAGGCTGGGACTTGAACCCAAAGAGATGATGATGATGCCCCCAAGTTGCATTGCCTGACCAAAGAAACCTATTCAATTCATTATTAGCACACACACAATAAACACCCTTTTCATTGTTTGTTTCATTGTACTTGCCTTTTCCATATACACAA